AAAAGTCACAGAAAAAAAGTCACAGAAAAAAAGTCACAGTGGAAAAATTTTATCGGAAAAAAAGTCACAGAAATAAAGTCACAGAAAAAAAGTCACAAAAATCTTTTTAGAAATATTTTTATTAATTTGTTAAGAATTGTAAAATTTTGTATGTTTATTGTTGTGGGTTGTATTTTTTGATAGCATAAATTATTTATAGACGTTAAAAGCATTATGATTTATAACAATTGTAAGTAAAAATACTCTAAGATAATTTACACAACAATCTCAACTTGTTACGTATTTATTTAAATACGCGGTAGAAAAGTTAATTATAAAAGAAATTTAGGCAAATTTTGCCGTAGGCTATTCTCTGGTCGGCCTCTCCTCAGTAGGCATTGTCCGAACATATTTTGTGTTGTTGACGTTACGCGTCAATGACAGCCTTTGAACCTTGTCGGCCTTCTGTTTTGATCCTAAGTTTTGTTATGTAATGAGCGTGATAAATGTGGGCAGTAAAGGTGGTTGAACTAAACATAACTATTGTTGCCATGAGTTGAGGGCAGCAAGTCAGATGAACTTACCATTTCACGGTAATTTAATATTGGTATTTTTTTAAAAAAGCACGATGAAAACCGTGGACTTTGGAGCATTCTATTAAATGCTACTAATCTTAAGTTTAAAATAATTACAATCTACATACTTCATAATAAATATTTTAAGATGAATTATAAAAATTCCTATGCGTATACAGCCTACACACATTACATTACATTTAATTAATCCTAAGTTAATTTGCACTGTCTAAATATTTAATACATAAAAGTATTAACAAATATCATGCAAATATATATTTGTGACTTTTTTTCCTGTGACTTTTTTTCCTGTGACTTTTTTTCCTGTGACTTTTTTTCTGTGTTTTTTTTTCCTGTGTTTTTTTTTTCCTGTGACTTTTTTTCCTACAATCGCTAGACACAAGTGGTGTAGACTTACTGGTGCTAGACACAAGTGGTGTAGACTTACTGGTGCTTAACACAAGTGGAGTGGATTTAATGGTGCTAGACACAAGTGGTTAGACTTACTGGTGCTAGACACAAGTGGTGTAGACTTACTGGTGCTAGACACAAGTGGTGTAGACTTACTGAAGCTAGACACATGTGGTGTAGACTTACTGGTGCTAGACACATGTGGTGTAGACTTACTGGTGCTAGACACAAGTGGTGTAGACTTACTGGTGCTAGACACAAGTGGTGTAGACTTACTGGTGCTAGACACAAGTGGTGTAGACTTACTGGTGCTAGACACAAGTGGTGTAGACTTACTGGAGCTAGACACATGTGGTGTAGACTTACTCGTGCTAGACACAAGTGGTGTAGACTTACTGGTGCTAGACACAAGTGGTGTAGACTTACGGTGCTAAACACATGTGGTGTAGACTTACTGGTGGTCAGTGGCGTAGCGAGGTCGGGTGTCACCCGGTGCGGCACTTAATGGTGTCACCCCCCCAGAGGCATAGAGACCCTTCCCAGGGACAAAGTTTCAAGTTTTCGATTTGCACCCCCCCCCTCAAACTTTCGATTTGCACCCCCCCCCTCGAGTTTTCGATTTGCACCCCCCCCCCTCAAACTTTCGATTTGCACCCCCCCCCCTCGAGTTTTTCTCTATATATTTTGCTATTTTTTGCCTTGGTGTCACCCCCCTAAATGGTGTCACCCGGTGCGGTCCGCACCCCCCGCCCCCCCCCCCTCGCTACGCCCCTGCTGGTGGTAGACACAAGTGGTGTAGACTTACTGGAGCTAGACACAAGTGGTGTAGACTTACTGGAGCTAGACACATGTGGTGTAGACTTACTGGTGCTAGACACAAGTGGTGTAGACTTACTGGTGCTAGACACAAGTGGTGTAGACTTACTGGTGCTAGACACAAGTGGTGTAGACTTACTGGTGCTAGACACAAGTGGTGTAGACTTACTGGAGCTAGACACATGTGGTGTAGACTTACTGGTGCTAGACACAAGTGGTGTAGACTTACTGGTGCTAGACACAAGTGGTGTAGACTTACTCGTGCTAGACACATGTGGTTAGACTTACTGGTGCTAGACACATGTGGTTAGACTTACTCGTGCTAGACACAAGTGGTGTAGACTTACTGGTGGTAGACACAAGTGGTGTAGACTTACTGGTGGTAGACACAAGTGGTGTAGACTTACTGGAGCTAGACACAAGTGGTGTATACTTACTGGTGCTAGACACATGTGGTGTAGACATACTGGTGCTAGACACAAGTGGTGTAGACTTACTGGTGCTAGACACAAGTGGTGTAGACTTACTGGTGCTAGACACAAGTGGTGTAGACTTACTGGTGCTAGACACAAGTGGTGTAGACTTACTGGTGCTAGACACAAGTGGTGTAGACTTACTGGTGCTAGACACAAGTGGTGTAGACTTACTGGTGCTAGACACAAGTGGTGTAGACTTACTGGAGCTAGACACATGTGGTGTAGACTTACTGGTGCTAGACACAAGTGGTGTAGACTTACTGGTGCTAGACACAAGTGGTGTAGACTTACTCGTGCTAGACACATGTGGTTAGACTTACTGGTGCTAGACACATGTGGTTAGACTTACTCGTGCTAGACACAAGTGGTGTAGACTTACTGGTGGTAGACACAAGTGGTGTAGACTTACTGGTGGTAGACACAAGTGGTGTAGACTTACTGGAGCTAGACACAAGTGGTGTATACTTACTGGTGCTAGACACATGTGGTGTAGACATACTGGTGCTAGACACAAGTGGTGTAGACTTACTGGTGCTAGACACAAGTGGTGTAGACTTACTGGTGCTAGACACAAGTGGTGTAGACTTACTGGAGCTAGACACATGTGGTGTAGACTTACTGGTGCTAGACACAAGTGGTGTAGACTTACTGGTGCTAGACACAAGTGGTGTATACTTACTGGAGCTAGACACATGTGGTGTAGACTTACTGGTGCTAGACACAAGTGGTGTAGACTTACTGGTGCTAGACACAAGTGGTGTAGACTTACTGGTGCTAGACACAAGTTGTTAGACTTACTGGTGCTAGTCACAAGTGGTGTAGACTTACTGGTGCTAGTCACAAGTGGTGTAGACTTACTGGTGCTAGACACATGTGGTGTAGACTTACTGGTGCTAGACACAAGTGGTGTAGACTTACTGGTGCTAGACACATGTGGTGTAGACTTACTGGTGCTAAACACAAATGGTTAGACTTACTGGTGGTAGACACAAGTGGAGTGGATTTAATGGTGCTAGATACATGTGGCATAAACATATTGGTGCTGAACAACACGATCAATTAACAGGCGTGTGTAGATGATAGGTCTGCATTCCCCCATGGTATGTGTAACCCATATGTATGTAGTAAATATATATGTTTTATATACCTACCACCATCAGTGATAAATCCAATGGGCAAATACAAATTGACCAACTCAATTAGAATCTAAAGTCCACTGTATCTGGGAAACAGTTGGAAACTCACACTGTTAAAAATAAATTAAGAACCAAAAATGTTGCTATACAAAGAAGGATAACTCAAGAAATGTGGAGCTGTAAATATGGACCCAGCAGTTAACAAATATGACTTATTGTTTTACGTCTTTTTGAATTGCTCTCTGAAAATATTTTTATTAAGCCTATACTACATACTCATAAAGATTATTCATTATAGATGCATTTTTAAATTTGAAGTTTTAAACTATCGTTTATTTTTTTTTTTTTTACCTTTTACTAACATGTTATTACTTGAATCGAGAGGTAGACTTTGATTTACTCCACAAAGTAAAGTACTTTATTACAAGACTAAGTAAGGTGTAGCTAAGAGTTAGCTTTTAAGACTAAAGAGTTAAGTAACAAGTAGGCTAAGTATCACTACTTGATGTCTTAGTCTATCTTACGTAACTCCTCGTTCTAAAAAGTTGATAATTAATATAAGCTTAGTAGATCTATTTTACAATTTACTCTTTAGGCCTGGTGGTATCATGAAACAACGGCCTTCCATAGACAATCCTGCATGACAAGGTGCCAGAGAAGAGAAGACAGGAGGAAATGGGTGAATGGCATCACTGACCGGATTGTCCTTTACAGGCTCGGTGATTGCAGAAGACGACAGGGGCGGATGGCTTGACGTTGTGATGAAGGTTACAGAGGCGCCCCTGTGACCCTCCCACTGGGTGATGGGCTGAGCTATGATATCGGAGGAGAAGGGGGGGGGGTCTAACTCCACCAACTCCCATGCTACGCCACTGTCCACTACCTTCCACACCTACTACCATTCCAAAATACGTTAAGGTTATAACACTGGAGGTATAGTCTACCTTTTTTTTACTCTGCTAAAAAGTGTTGTTTTTTTGTGTGCTGAGTTTTAAAAAGTGCAAAGTACATTATTGTTTGTAGTTTGCCGTATTAATTTCTCTGTCCGCCCATGTATGAACATAAATTCTAGCATTATATATAATAAGCATTGGGTGGTTTTTTAATTCGATAAAGGGAATCCAATCGTGTCTACTATTTAAAAAACTGAATTAGCTCCTCATTTCGTTCTTTAAGTCGTTTTCTAATTGTTTGTTTCATTGTTTATATTACTTATTTGATGACGCATGCTTATAAATAAAAAAGTCTTTTATATATTTATATGCATGCGTCTCGCGATATTTGGGGGAATGAAAAACATTCACAGGTATTATGAAAATTTCCCGACTATTCATCGGATTTTCCGGCTTTCTCGACCAGGAAATTTTATTTTAAAATTCCTGTTTTTTTCCCCCAGCTTCCTGACTCTGTGGGAACCCTGAAAAAAAAATTTCTTGTAAAATTCTGTTTGTTACTTCCAAGCATGGTTACCCTTGGAATATCCGCTTTTTTACTTCCTCACATCCAGTCCTTCTATGGAGCCGTGCGAAAACCTTTTGTTTACAATACTCGTTACGTGGGCGAGGTTCCAGTATAAATTTTCCATCCAACAGGTTCTCCTCGGCATAATTTGCAGCTCCGATAAGTGGCATTTTAAAAAACCGCAGTGTCAGTTGCTGATCTTGAGATATATTTGCGCTTTACATAAATCAAAATGCCTGCTTGTCAAGTATGCGGACGAAACGCTGTTCCTGGTAACGTTTATAATAATTATACTTTTAAAATTGCAAGATAAATAATAAATAATAGTTGTATTAATTCATTGGTTGAAAAGGTTTATAATAGTTTATGAATTAGGTCTATGGAACAGGGATGTGCTTTTTTATAGAACCATTTGACAATTTAGAGGTGTGCGTGTTGTTTATTTTATGTGCGAAATGTCGTTTCAGTATTTTAGAAAATAAACTTGAAAACACTATTGATTCTAAAAGAAATCTATAATGAGGTGGGTTTTTTTTTCTTAATCCTTTTACGGGGATATGTTTAAAAAAATCACAAAAATCCTGATCTTGCACTTTTGGATATTTTGTCCATTTTCGTATTAAGAAAATAATAACTTTAATGAGAAAAAAATATAATGTTTTTAAAATACGATTTTTATGACCCGATTAATTAAAATTTAAACAATTATTCCCAATCTTACAAGCTCTCTCCGAAAAGTTTTATATCTGTCATCATATTGTATTTGACAGCATTGAAAAGCTGGATTTCTAATGTATTTGAGAATCGTATTGTCCATCATCTCAAAGACAACCAAATTACTCATATATGGTACTTTGGTGACCTACTTTTCGTTACTTTTTATCGCAGTTTGTTTTTTTAGCACAAAAAGCCAACTACTGTTTTTTTTTATTTAAACAATGCCCACCATATTATCAGTAATTGTTTTTCGTAAAAAAAATAATTTTTTTCACGTTAAAATTGTGATGGCTTTCATTTTAATGATGAATGTATTGGTAATAAATATAGGCCTATATATATATATATATATATATATATATATATATATATATATATATATATATATATATATATATATACGATATATATAAATAAATAAATAAATAAATAAATAAATATATATATATATATATATATATATATATATATATATATATATATATATATATATATATATATATATATATATATATATATATATATATATGCATAATATAATGCTACGACATAGATCTTGTTGACGTCATTATACATAAAAATGTTCACATATTTGCACATACCGTTATTTAGTTGGTGTAAAACGAATGACTATTGCTATTGTTATAATTTTTGTATAGGCCTACACATGTGGAGGGTGTCCAGTATTATCAGATTTTTGTATCGATATTAAGGCTTTTAGTATGATGAGTTAGACCAATAGAACCTGTCGACATATTTAGGCGGTTATGCTTTTTATGACAATGTTTGACGTTAGGCGGATGGAGGAGAATATTATCGGTCTAAAGGACGTCAATCATAGCCACTCTTGAACATAGCCGTTATTTATCTTTTCAGCAAGAATTTCTTTTGACAGACACTACCACCCACAATGTTTTAGGTGTGTGAAATGTAAGATACATCTCACACCAAACCGTCACAAAGAGGTAGGTTATTGCCCTTTATTTTGAAATTGGTTTATCATAAATATAACTCATAATTGTTTTTTTTTATTTTAAAACTGGTTATCATAAGTCAGTTATTGTCCTTTACATTACATTGGCATTATTACATCAATAAATTATGAATATTCTTGATTCCTCTGTAGAGGTAAAAAATTATTAGAAGAACGAAGTAAAGTATTGCTAATTGAAGTAATATGTGCATTATTATTTGTATCAATACCATTTACATTTTTTAAAGATGTGTTTTAATACCACTGTTGATTGTCCTATATTTTTAATAGTGCATAACATCTCTAGTACTAAAATACATGATCAAGTTAATGTAATATATTTTATCCCTACGACTAGTTTAAAGGACAACCCTGCTGCACATCTCCTTGCTACAATGTTTTGTTGACAAGACCTACAGGTGAGTTTTTGACTGTAAAAAACCCCAATCAGTGTCTAATTTTCCAGTTAGATCTATTTTGTTTTATTTTCCAATCACTTTTTAATGATACAATAATTTTTATAATCAATTTCCAATCAATTTCTAATACTTCAGTCACTATAGTCAGTGCGTAGCGAGGTCGGGTGTCACCCGGTGCGGCACTTAATGGTGTCACCCCCCCCCCCCCCCCCCCATCCACCCTTGTCGGGATTTGTCAAATTTGCTCTTAATTAAGTTGAATTATCATTTTTCTGTACATATTTTGTTATTTTTCGTCTTGGTGTCACCCCCTAAGTGGAGTCACCCCCCCCCCAGTAGTATATTAGGTCCCTTTTGGAGCGAATGGGTGAGGGGGATGCGGATGCGGATGCGGAACAAAGGCTATATAGGAAAATACTCCCCGCCTGGGTGAACCGCAGGTACAATGACATATAGCAAAATACTCACCCACCAGGGTGAGGTGGGTGATCCGCAGGAACAACGAAATATAGTAAAATACTCCCTGGGGGAGGTGGAGGTACACCGACATATAGTAAAATACTCACCCACCTGGGTGAGGGTGGGTGAGCCGCAGGAACAATGACATATAGTAAAATACTCACCCACCTGGGTGAAGGTGGGTGAGGGTGGGTGAGCCGCAGGAACAATGAGATATAGTAAAATACTCACCCACCCTAGGGTGGGGGATGCGGATGCGGAGTAGGTCAGTAGGTCACCACCGGTGACCTTGTGACGTAATTAGTAACATTATGACGTAATCATTGACCTAGTTACGTAATCATTGACCTAGTTACGTAATTTTAACGAGTTTTTTAATTAGTTTTAATGAGTTTTTAAAATTTTAATTAATTTTTGACCTAGTTACGTAATTTTAATGTGTTTTTTAATTAGTTTTAATGAGTTTTAAAAATTTTAATTAATTTTTTTTTTATTAACGAGTTACGTAATTTGATTATTTGTTTAATTTTAAATTGTTTACTTTGTTTGTTTACTTGTTGTTTATTTGTTTATATTGTGTAATTTTTATTCACGAGTTACGTAATGCGATTTTAATTATTTTTATTTTGTTTATTTTTAATTTAATTTTATTTTATAATTAGTTAAATTATTATTAACTAGTTACGTAATTTGATTTTAATTACTTTGTTTATTTGTTTATTTAATATATTTCTTTTCTTTGATGTTTAATTTGTTGGTTTGTTTGAATGTATGTATGTTTTAAATAAAAGACTAACACTAGCATGTACTAGAACAGTCTTTGTATACCAGCCTTTAACCAGACATGTAACACCTGTTACGTATCGACCGCCCGCGAAGTTTTCTCGGCGCTGCCCGTTTTAATGGGAATGTATTGATCGCACCCACTGGGCCATCACAGCATGATGTCCCACCTAATTAAATTTTTGTTATGCTTCACCGAGTTTCCCCCGCTCGGAAGACAGGTTATGGTAATTTACGACGTACATTAAGTGGCTTTCCGCGAAGTACATAGGTCATTATGCAACAGCTGTGTAATATCGATCGCATCCACTGACCATCACACCTAATTAAATTGGTCACGCATCGTAAGTGTAGCGACATCGGTAACTAGTCGCTTATAGCGAGGTCAGCGAAAACCGATCGATTTGTCAGCTCCGTGAAACCCTTAGGTAACAGCTGGTGCTGTAATTAGTCACGGCTCTCGGCTTTTTTCATTAGACTACAGCTGTACATGAACTATGTTCACATATCATACGCCCGGTCATTCTTTGATCAAATTAAAAAATTTTGTTTCCACATGTCATGCGAACCGTCCCTTGCTATGTATGAAAGATTAATGGTTGTAACTATTCGCTTATAGCGAGGGTCAGCGAAAACAAAAATATATTTAAGGGTCGGAATTTTCTTTCAACCACCGTTAAGTCAGGTTTTGAGACGAAACGAAGTCTCGGTAGGTTCGTGTTTTTTAATGGGCGACAGAGCGACTTGGGGCGTTGGTACGTAGGTATGCGGGGTAGACATGTTTTTTACAAGTCTGGAAAAGTAATTACGTTTTTTTATGACCGTTCCGATTTTCTTTTGATCTGACCACCATTTGACCACACTGAGCCAGATAAATTTAACAATCGTCGCAGCGGGGTTTATTTTAAGTGCACCCCGTGCACGCTTGTTTACATTTTAAAAGACGTGTCGCGTGTCTTCCCCTTACGGCTTCCCTAATAGAGAAACGAGAGGAAAGACAACTGTTCTAAAATTAGAACAGCCTTGTTTACAGCCACGAGTATCGTCCCTTGTGAAAAAATTCGCATCAGAATCATTAACTAAACATTCAATTTCTTTAACAAGTTAAAAAATAATTTAGGAAGACAAGGGTTAACAACATTAGACGCCACCGTTTTTGTTTCCTGCGACGACAAGGCACAATACACTTTTTTATTTTATGTCTCAAGTAGAGGGGTGGGATATTTTTTCTTTGTAAGCGTGTTGTAAACAATAGGTAGACGAAGCGATTACTAAGTAAGAGGGGAGAGAAGTGACGTACATCGCGATATTTGAAAACATGGCGATGTTTAACCTCAACCAAAAAAGGCAATGAACCTAGAAGGAAGACGAATATATATCTTAGTCTTGCAGCAGATTACCTGCCCATGTTCGCTTTAGTATTACAGTTTTCATCAAACTTCTTTTTGACTTGAACTTCTTTAATTTTTTAAGAAAGTTTACTTATACATATTACATTACGTCTAATGACAATTTTTTTATTTTTACCACTCATGTATTTTCTTTTTCTATATCTTACATTGTCATCTTAATTTTTGATCACCTTAGTAAAAATTTGCTTAAGATTATAAACTTCAAGTTTTAAAAAACAACAACGTTATAGTACGTCGTGTCAAATGACACACCGTTTAAAATGTCTACATTTAAATTTCACCAAAATAATGATGTATAAACTAAATATGATATGACGTTAGCATACATATAATTCAATCTAATCACTCTAAAGTACAAATCAATAATTTTTTATTGATTAAGGGGCTGGGTGAGTTATTTTTATCACTATTCGCCCTTCCCCTTCCCTTTGTCCGCAACCCCTTTCCCCTTCGCCCATCCCTAACCTCAATACCAACCGTACCACTACCCATTCTATTCCATTAAAGAGACAAAGGATTTATGACAATCCTAAAGACAAATATTTATTCAACTAATATCACAACCCCCTAGAAACCACTCCAACAGACTGGGATACATAACTTGTAGACACCACTCCACGTTGAATATCTCTTGCACCCTACCTACATCGACAACTTTGTCCGCCGCCCTCGCCCCCGTCCCTAAACAACCGATAGATAAACACACCGTACCACTACCCACACTATTCCCTTGGACAGACAAAGGACAAAGTAACAGACAAACATTTATCCCCCTTCGTTTACTGTCACAAGTGACAACGTTCCCATCCAACTCCAAGACATCCATGGCCGAATTTCGAAACCTGTCTTGTTGAAAACAAAGACCGTCCCACTCTAGTGTAAACTCTACCCCGACCAACTCCGAAACAGGGATGGTCCACGTTTTAAATCTACCTTAGTGAAAACAAAAGCCTTCCCACTCTAGACTCGGCCCCTAACACTTCCAAAACATACCTGTACTAACTTTGAAACCACCCTCGGTGAAAACTTCACCGACACTAGTATGGACTCTACACCTACCGATTCCAAAACATGAATGTTCCGAGTTCAAAACCAACCTTCACCGACACTAGTATGAACTCGGCTACCAACAATTCCCAAACATACATGTACCAACTTTCCAACCTGCCTCAGTGCTAACAAAATTCCCCGACCCTAGTATGAACTCGACTGCCAACAATTCCTAAACATCCCTGTACCAACTTTGTAACCTGCCTCGGTGAAAACTTCACCGACCTTAGTTTAACTCTCCCTAACAATTCCAATGATGCATGTACGAACTTTGTAACTTGCCTCGGTGAAAACACCCCCGTCCCTAGTATGAACTCGGTTACCAACAATTTCAAAACATGCATGTTCCGAGTTCAAAACCAACCTTCACCGACACTAGTTTAAACTCTGCCCCATCAATTCCTAAACATGCATGTACCAACTTTGTAACCTACCTCGGTGAAAACTCCCCCGACCCTAGTATGGACTCTACACCTACCGATTTCAAAACATGTATGTTCCGAGTTCAAAACCAACCTTCACCGACACTAGTATGAACTCGGCTACCAACAATTCCTAAACATGCATGTACCAACTTTGTAACCTGCCTCGGTGAAATCTTCACCGACCCTAGTATGGACTCTAGACCTAACGATTCCAAAACATACATGTTCCGAGTTCAAAACCAACCTTCACCGACACTAGTATGAACACGGCCCCTAACAATTCCAAGGATGCATGTACCAACATTACAACCTGCCTCAGTGTTAGCAAAACTCCCCGACACTAGTATGAACTCGGCTACCAACAATTCCTAAACATGCATGTACCAACTTTGTAACCTGCCTCGGTGAAATCTTCACCGACCCTAGTATGGACTCTAGACCTAACGATTCCAAAACATACATGTTCCGAGTTCAAAACCAACCTTCACCGACACTAGTATGAACACGGCCCCTAACAATTCCAAGGATGCATGTACCAACATTACAACCTGCCTCAGTGTTAGCAAAACTCCCCGACCCTAGTATGAACTCGACTGCCAACAATTCCTAAAGATGCATGTCCCAACTTTGTAACCTGCCTCGGTGAAAACTTCACCGACCCTAGTATGGACTCTTTACCTGTAAATTGTAAAACATGGATGTACCAACTTCGAAACATCCGTCTGTGTTAACAAAACTTCCCCGACCCTACTATAGACTCGACCCCTAACAATTCCAAAACATGCATAATCTAGCTTCGAACCCTGCCTCGGTGAAAACATCACCGACTCGTGTATAAAATCTGTTCCAACCAACTCCAAACTTCCCTGGGCGCCCGAATAAAAATAACTCACCCAGCCCCTTAATCAATAAAAAATTATTGATTTGTACTTTAGAGTGATTAGATTGAATTATATGTATGCTAACGTCATATCATATTTAGTTTATACATCATTATTTTGGTGAAATTTAAATGTAGACATTTTAAACGGTGTGTCATTTGACACGACGTACTATAACGTTGTTGTTTTTTAAAACTTGAAGTTTATAATCTTAAGCAAATTTTTACTAAGGTGATCAAAAATTAAGATGACAATGTAAGATATAGAAAAAGAAAATTCATGAGTGGTAAAAATAAAAAAATTGTCATTAGACGTAATGTAATATGTATAAGTAAACTTTCTTAAAAAATTAAAGAAGTTCAAGTCAAAAAGAAGTTTGATGAAAACTGTAATACTAAAGCGAACATGGGCAGGTAATCTGCTGCAAGACTAAGATATATATTCGTCTTCCTTCTAGGTTCATTGCCTTTTTTGGTTGAGGTTAAACATCGCCATGTTTTCAAATATCGCGATGTACGTCACTTCTCTCCCCTCTTACTTAGTAATCGCTTCGTCTACCTATTGTTTACAACACGCTTACAAAGAAAAAATATCCCACCCCTCTACTTGAGACATAAAATAAAAAAGTGTATTGTGCCTTGTCGTCGCAGGAAACAAAAACGGTGGCGTCTAATGTTGTTAACCCTTGTCTTCCTAAATTATTTTTTAACTTGTTAAAGAAATTGAATGTTTAGTTAATGATTCTGATGCGAATTTTTTCACAAGGGACGATACTCGTGGCTGTAAACAAGGCTGTTCTAATTTTAGAACAGTTGTCTTTCCTCTCGTTTCTCTATTAGGGAAGCCGTAAGGGGAAGACACGCGACACGTCTTTTAAAATGTAAACAAGCGTGCACGGGGTGCACTTAAAATAAACCCCGCTGCGACGATTGTTAAATTTATCTGGCTCAGTGTGGTCAAATGGTGGTCAGATCAAAAGAAAATCGGAACGGTCATAAAAAAACGTAATTACTTTTCCAGACTTGTAAAAAACATGTCTACCCCGCATACCTACGTACCAACGCCCCAAGTCGCTCTGTCGCCCATTAAAAAACACGAACCTACCGAGACTTCGTTTCGTCTCAAAACCTGACTTAACGGTGGTTGAAAGAAAATTCCGACCCTTAAATATATTTTTGTTTTCGCTGACCCTCGCTATAAGCGAATAGTTACAACCATTAATCTTTCATACATAGCAAGGGACGGTTCGCATGACATGTGGAAACAAAATTTTTTAATTTGATCAAAGAATGACCGGGCGTATGATATGTGAACATAGTTCATGTACAGCTGTAGTCTAATGAAAAAAGCCGAGAGCCGTGACTAATTACAGCACCAGCTGTTACCTAAGGGTTTCACGGAGCTGACAAATCGATCGGTTTTCGCTGACCTCGCTATAAGCGACTAGTTACCGATGTCGCTACACTTACGATGCGTGACCAATTTAATTAGGTGTGATGGTCAGTGGATGCGATCGATATTACACAGCTGTTGCATAATGACCTATGTACTTCGCGGAAAGCCACTTAATGTACGTCGTAAATTACCATAACCTGTCTTCCGAGCGGGGGAAACTCGGTGAAGCATAACAAAAATTTAATTAGGTGGGACATCATGCTGTGATGGCCCAGTGGGTGCGATCAATACATTCCCATTAAAACGGGCAGCGCCGAGAAAACTTCGCGGGCGGTCGATACGTAACAGGTGTTACATGTCTGGTTAAAGGCTGGTATACAAAGACTGTTCTAGTACATGCTAGTGTTAGTCTTTTATTTAAAACATACATACATTCAAACAAACCAACAAATTAAACATCAAAGAAAAGAAATATATTAAATAAACAAATAAACAAAGTAATTAAAATCAAATTACGTAACTAGTTAATAATAATTTAACTAATTATAAAATAAAATTAAATTAAAAATAAACAAAATAAAAATAATTAAAATCACATTACGTAACTCGTGAATAAAAATTACACAATATAAACAAATAAACAACAAGTAAACAAACAAAGTAAACAATTTAAAATTAAACAAATAATCAAATTACGTAACTCGTTAATAAAAAAAAAAATTAATTAAAATTTTTAAAACTCATTAAAACTAATTAAAAAACACATTAAAATTACGTAACTAGGTCAAAAATTAATTAAAATTTTAAAAACTCATTAAAACTAATTAAAAAACTCGTTAAAATTACGTAACTAGGTCAATGATTACGTAACTAGGTCAATGATTACGTCATAATGTTACTAATTACGTCACAAGGTCACCGGTGGTGACCTACTGACCTACTCCGCATCCGCATCCCCCACCCTAGGGTGGGTGAGTATTTTACTATATCTCATTGTTCCTGCGGCTCACCCACCCTCACCCACCTTCACCCAGGTGGGTGAGTATTTTACTATATGTCATTGTTCCTGTATTTTACTATATGTCGGTGTACCTCCACCTCCCCCAGGGAGTATTTTACTATATTTCGTTGTTCCTGCGGATCACCCACCTCACCCTGGTGGGTGAGTATTTTGCTATATGTCATTGTACCTGCGGTTCACCCAGGCGGGGAGTATTTTCCTATATAGCCTTTGTTCCGCATCCGCATCCGCATCCGCATCCCCCTCACCCATTCGCTCCAAAAGGGACCTAATATACTACTCCCCCCCCGCTACGCCCCTGACTATAGTCACTATAGCAGTAGTATCAAAAATAGATTAGATGTGGGGAACTGATTGCATTGTATAATTTAGGCACAAAAATATTCATATTTCGAAAACCTGTGTAATAATCCCAACATCATCATCTGTGTTTTCAATTTAAACTTTTTAAAGAATCCATAGTTATTTACAACTTATAATGGTAACTATTTTTTAAAAAGAAATACAATTTTTTTACTGGAAAGAGTTAAGGTTTTGATAATGATTAAAGTGGAAGGGGGCGGGGGGGGGGGGTTGGATTGATTTTGCATACACCTTGATAATATTTACACTAAGATGTAATTGGGCCAAGTGAGAAACTATATTGAACTAGATCTAGTCATCTCTTGCAGGTGATCGAATCTAATTTTTAAAAAGACTTTTAAAAATTTAAATAAGTTAACATAAATTGCAGGAAATGTGTTATTTTAGATTAGCAATTATCGTTTAAGTGAAATAACTCTAAAAAGTTATACATTGAAAATCTTAATTAGCTGACATAAATTGTTGGAAATGTTTTGTAGATTTACCATCACGTTTTATGTGAAACAATTTAATTAATTTTTAAATTTAATTTTTGTTTTGTTTGAATATATTCCAGCTCGTTAACGTTGTGTAGCCTAGGAAGAGAGAGTGTCTACAAAATAGACTGCCCCAGTCAACGAAATCCATCAATCTCTTATCTCCATACATCATGTTGTTTGTGATATAGCTTTAGATTTATGTTTATGAATGCACATACGACTTTGACCATTTAGATTAAGCCTGTAGAGCATTCTTTTTTCATTTATTATTATATTTGCATTTTATAAAAGAAAGGAAAATAATTATTTTTATTTTTAAAAAAGACCCATATGGTAAATAAACCTTTTTCGCAATGTTTTGTGTACATGTAATCTTTTACAGTAAATATTAGTGTGTTTATGAAAAAAATAATGCAGGGCACCGAGGCGGGAGGCAGAGGCGTAGCGAGGGGGAGGGGGGGCGGGGGGACATATGTCCCTGGGCGCCGACCTTAGGGGGGGGGGCGCCAAATTGAAAGTTTGAGGGGGGGGGGGTGTGCAAATGAAAAGTTCGAGGGGGGTGTAAATGGAAAGTTTGAGGGGGGGGGGGGGTGCAAATCGAAAGTTTGTCCCCGGGCGCCGGGAAGGGTCGCTACGCATCTGGCGGGAGGGAGGGGAAAAAAATAGTAAGCAAAGACGATATAGGAGGACATAAAGTAATGGAATGGGCTGCCTGTTGCAGAACTACTTAAAGAAGAGAACCAATAGGTGCTTAAAGGACTAATGGTTGATTGATTTATGTGAGGATACTGACACACCCCATCACTAAACCAAAATGATCTTAAAAATTGGCATTGGTTTGGTATTTGAAACACAGGTATTTAAATGACTGTAAATACAGGAAATCGGGAATAGGCTTGAAAAGCTGGTTCCAAATGTTTGTTGCCAGATAGCATATTTTTCAACCGAAATTGAATTTTTTTTTTTAACATTTGAGAAATAAATACAAAAGGACTTCCGGTTTTATTAAGGCAAGAAATATTCAAACAAATAATTACTAGTAATATAATAGTAATTTAGCAAACACTTTTATTTTATTTTTATTTTTTTGGATTAGCAGAGTCAAGGTGTTGTGGTGATAGAGGATGTTAATTGACATAAACTACAAGGCTATACCCTATTGATCGCTATTGTGTATTTTGTGATGGAAAACAATTGTTCTGACTTTCACTGTTTTACTCTCCCTGGCTATCCCGGTTGACTTCAATTCTAAACGGCTTTTCAATGGCTTATTGACTACAATAAATATGAAAATGAGTGTAGTGTTTCCCAAAAAGCTTTGTTTTTAAAATATAACTGTAATTTTATCGCTGATCATATTTTTTAAAAGAAATTGTTTAAAATTTAGTATGATTACATAGGAATTTGATGTACGAGCAAAGTTATGGAACGAATAAAATTCATATCTCAAGATACCTATGTATCTATGGGAACAGGGCATTATCCCCCCCCCTCCCGTCGATTACCCCCCCCCCCCCCCCCCCGGTAGAATTTAATGTCATATTGCATTGTCTTCAGCTCTTGACCAATGTGCCGAATTTCAGAGAAATTGATCCGTTAAAGGTGCACCGAATTTCGCTCCACGTTTTGATCTAGACAGGAGGAAGACAGGGCAAGCAAGTTAAATAAAAGCTTGTAAAAAGAAAAACCACGAAATTTATCCATGTCAACGATTGCAGGATTTTCGTCATGTAATTGATGTCAAATGTATAATAAAGATGAGTATTGGCGTCATTATGTCGGGCGTCTCACATGCCATATAGAGAGTTTGAAGGAGCCAGAAAAAAATTACGTTTTTTTTTGTGTGCTCGCTTTTGGATAATTTCAAGGATCTGTCTGTCGCATTATGCTATTTAACATCAGAGAACCAACCCAAAATAAAACGACTATCAAGCTAGTATCCAACTGCAACAAGCCATAGCCTCGTCATGGGAACGTTCATTCGTTCAAGTAAAGGGTGGGGGGGGGGGGGCGGCGTAATTTTCTTCCGGTGACGCGGTGTTTTGTAGATATCAATAAAGGCTAGCATTACATTTAAACAGTGCGCGGGCCATCTTCATTATACAAACGTTAAAACGGTAAGCCCAACGTCTAGTATGGTTTGAGGAGGGGAGGGAGTATAGCGAACATCTGCTATCCCGAAATTCTCCAATTCAGATCCTGGTAAAACGTCTGTATAGTAAGTCCTTGGACCCAAACACGCCCGATAGGTGCATTGTATTAGTTAGGGAAAGCCCATTAACAGGGGAGAGAACTTATTGAATTACTACAACTTACCAAACACTTCAAGGAGTTATTAAAATTAATACGGTCTCTCTTTTATAATAGCTTTTCGAGTGTTCAAGGTTTAACCAAATGGAAAGCCGCTTCTTTGTGTTACAACAAAGGATCGGTCTACGACATCAAAGAGCGGTATAGGGGGTCGGTGGTGACTTTTTAATAGATATTTATAGCTCATATAAGGATAACTTTACACGCTGTTATTTTCAGCCTTCGGCTTAGGCATTAATCTTGATCGTCAGCTTTCCTATGTGGCCGAGGTTAATGCAAAAATTTCGCCAGATGTGTAAAGCCCAAGTAACCTATAATCTTTTTAAACAACCGCCAGTTCTTTTTTTTTTTTTTTTTTTTTTTACATATTTTACAATGATTCCGGTAACACAAGCGTATATAAATAAACATGCAATTATGATTATGTATATATATATATATATATATATATCGGGGGGGAAGGGAGTAGGGTTAAAATAGGGGGGGGGGGGTAGATGTTCACCGGGGGTGGGGGCGGGGAAAGGGCCTTTGCCCCTCCGAGAAGAGATACCTGAAAGAAACTGCATGCAAACCACTAAGATTAGACAAATAATTTAGGCGGTAATGTTAGTGTCTGTATTATCAAGTATAGTTGACGTCATTATTATTGCGTATTTTTTCCGCAGTGTACTTTGTTCTATGAATCTATGTTTACTCTAGAATCAATGACGACATTTCATTGTGTGTGCTTTTCCAGCGTTAGAACTGTACATATTTGGTTTCGTTTTGAAAATTTCCTACATGAATGTTCTATGTGCCATCACGGTCTTTCACTATGCACCTTTTCACTTTCCCTATATTTTCTCTAGAGCGTTTTAGACACAGAGACAGCGTGACAGAACAACATGAAAAACAAAATTGCAGGGCTTTAAAAAAAAAATAACTATAGTGGCTTAATGATCTTTTCTTAAAACTGTTTCTACATCAATTGTGTGCCATCACAATAAAAACTGTTAAAGTGAATGGTAAAAAGCATCCCAAACTTTCCAAAATGTGGAGTGTAGAGGGGACGGTGACACTTTTTCACATACTATATATAAATAGTTCATCCCTGGTGCTGGAATAGACGTTAGGCGTCTGTAAACAGGCAACATTCCCCACCCTCCCCCCTCCACATTGCACCACTCACATCAGACCAAACAATCCAGAGGACGGATGAAGAAGCGTTCATTTTTCTTGACCTTGGCTTATTAAGGAATAGTGTGGGCAGCTCTATGCACAGCCACCTTTACTTTCCCAAACAAGAGTTTGGTACCCAGCAGAGATCTAGACTTGAGACATTCAAGCTAGCAGTCGAGCACAGTATCATCCGACCACGCCGTCCCGTTCTAAAATTAAGGCCCAAATAAAAGTCTTAAATGTAAGAGGAACATTGATTGCTCTAAATAGCTATCAACTAAACTTATGCCATTAAAAAAACCAGTATCTTAAAACAAACGTAACAAGAAAAGTTAAAATCAACATTTATTTATAACATGTGCATGTTAATAATATACCATCATATAAAATATAACAAATAAAACAGCATTGCGTACATGAACTCGAACAACATACCATCAGCTAGCAGTAAAAGTTCACCACTACTAGACTAGTTCACCCTGTACCACACTATTGTACAACAGTCAGCAGCAGTCAAATAAATGGCTTCATGTCTTAACATCTCCCATGATTAATAAATAAATAATAAGTTACATTATTTTTTGCCACCAATGTTAGAAGAGCATGAGACAAGGGAGATAATAAAATGTGGACATTTGTCATCCAGCGTTCCACCAAGACAGCATTCCCAGACCCATTTCACTGATAGAGCCCTGTGGGGTGGAAGAAAATAAGGGGAGTAATTGGTCAGTGGAGCAATGTGTGATGGGGATAATATGGGAAATAACTGGTCAGTGGTCAGTTAGACAATATGTAACGAGATGAACAAGGGAAATTACTGGTGAAAGGAATAATATGGGATAATAAATGAAGGAAATAATTGGTAGGTAGTCAGAAATAAAATGAAAAAAGAACATAATAATCACAGGTTTAAATTGATCACTACATGCAGCGAAAAAATGCATCTGGGTTACTTTAAGCTATTGTGTGGTTGGGAAAAATGTGAAACAATTGGTCAGTGGCCAGTTGAACGCAGTGTGAAAAATGAAGAATTAAGGGAAATAATCCACAGCAATGTTGGAAAAAAAAAATAATTGGTAAAATGTATTCTGTCAAGGGAAGATAAATCCAGTTTATACAATTATCTTTTATTTATTCCATCCAATTCCTCTAGGCGTAGACTACAAATTCCACAAAAAAGTGGATTAACAACCTATCACCATTAAGGTTTATTGCATCACTTCCTTTTTCATGTTATTCAGTGTTATCTTGGCTGGTGACAATTATTCATGCGTTTGTCATACTTAACCTCAATGTAGACCTACTGACCTTAGCAGCAACTGTGAAAAGTGCTGATACTAGTAGTGTAAACTTATGGTGCTAGACACAAGTGGTTAGACTTACTCATGCCAGACACATGTGGTGTGGATTTTAATGGTGCTTGACACTAGTGGTGTTAACTTACTGGTGCTAGACATGAGCAGTGTAAACTAATGTTGCTAGTTACATGTGGTATAAATTTCCTGGCATGAACTCAATCCCCCACTGAATATTTTATTTTGATAAATTATAATACAAAATGATTTTAAAACAGACTTGAATATATATTCAATCAATTATAAAATAAGATGTTTGTTTCTGAACATAGGTTCAATGTAAAAAAAAGTTATATCAAACAACAAAAAAAAGTGTAATATTAGACTTGACATTACCAGCTAACCAGTTACCCCAAACAAGAGTAAGAAAAAAATGTACTTACCAGCAAGGTGTATGGGGCTTTCTTTGTGCTGGGATCTGATATGGGTAAGGGGTTCCCTGAGGCAGTACTGGAGGGGGGCTGCATGCTTTTGTCCTCAGGTCCCGAGGGTGTTGTGTCCACGAATGTCTCGTCAACAACACGAAACCTGCAGGATCAAAAGTTTCAACGCCAATCAATGGTAGTTACAATACTAAACAACACTATCATAATAAAATATGTCTCATCAACAACACGAAACCTGCAGGATCAACAGTTTCAACGCCAATCAACAGTAGTTACAATACTAAACAACACTATCATGATAAATTTATAGCCATCAATGGTAGTTACAGTACTAAACAACACTATCATGATAAATTGGTAAGTGTGTGTAGATGATAGGTCTGCATTCACCATTGGTATATGTACACCAAATAAATATAGTAAATATTTATGCTTAATATACCTAACACCACCAGTGATAAATTCATTGGCAACTACAAAACCAAACAACTATTATAATATATTCTTTAAGTCCACTACACATAGAAAATATTAATGATTTAATGCTTTATTATAACCTTAAACTGCTTTAAAAAAATCAAGAACCAAAAAAATCTACTATACAAAGAAGGACAACTCAGGAAATGTGGTACTGTAAATATGTACACATAGTTTTCAAAATTTAGACCCAGTTTTTAAAATTACTTTTTTTTTAAAATAAAATAAACTCCAGATAAAGAAGAGTTCACCATACCATTCTTGATTCTCATACTATTTTCTCTAACAAACTAATCTTAAACTGGGACTATAACACAAAAAGAGGATCCCACCTGATGTCACCTCCAATCTCTAGAGGTAGATCAACCTTTCCTTCTTCTGGTGCTTCATACTCCCAGCTCCATAACTGTTCTTGTTCGTTGCTAACATTTGGTTAAGTAAAATACCAAATTTTATATAATTTTATTCACTGATAAGTATGCAAGACAAAATATTTATATATATACACTCAAGAAAAATTATTTTTTGTTCATAAAAAGATGAACCAATTAAGTTTTTAAACACATTTGCAGAAAAAAGTTGCTGGGAAAAATGAATTTGCTGTTACAGTTCAAACTTTTTAAAATTGACCATCAATTATGGATAAATTAAGATTGATGAAAATAAATATCATGACAACTATTAAGAAATTAAGGTATTTACCCAGAACCAAAGAAAAATAATTCACAAATCTAAACCTTTTCCCCCCTCAAATTTAAAGTAAATTAAGAAAACAAGGATACAATTTTGAAGGCTGCTGTAGTGAATCTGAAGGAATGACAATGTCATCAAAAAATCCCATACTCACTGGGAAAAAAAACAATTTAAACAATTTAAAACTTAAGAATTCTAAATTAAATAATTTTACAGAGAAAGAAAATAAAAAATCTTACCATGAACACCATCTTTGTTACTACTTTTTATTCTCCCAACTAGAATCTCATCAATAAATGGCCGAAACACAACAAATCTGAAATGTACTGGAGATATCGATGGTTATTAACAATATAATCAATTATTAAAAATATAATTAATAAATGGTTTTGAAGAAGATATACGTGTTAATATTTTTAAAAAAAACAATTGAATTTAGACATTAGAATTAGATTCAATTTCAAGTAATGACTTTAGATATTTTAAAATGACAATATAAAAACCAAATAATATCTACAAATCAACTTTACCAATAGTGTGGGTAGCTCCATCACCAGGGAAAATGTAACTGTCTTCCACCTTTTCAACATCCCATAATGCTATACAAAGCCCAACATTATAAACCACCTGAAAACAAGATATAAATTTGATGAAAAAATACTTTAAACATACACAGCGTTGGACAGATTTTCTTACTGCTTATGACAATAATAGATAGGGTCTATATTATTAGATATTAAATGCTTTATCACTTTATCCTGGCTAGAGTTTTTATTTAAAGTAAGATTACCATTTCAGAGTTCATTGGTTTCTGTGACCTCGACAAATGAAAATAATGGTGTAATCAGCACAAGAAAAAATCTAACTTTTATTTCCCCTAAAGTTAGTCAGGTATCCATCAGAGATGAGTGGACTAGTCCTATGGACTTGAGCCCAGATTCTGATGGTAGAGTGCCTGAGTTTGTATTTTCAAAGGTCTTGAGTTCAGAACATGGGTTCAAGTCCATAAAACGTGCTCAATACCATAAATCCATGCTTTTTAATTAATTTAACCCTTTACTGTCTGGGCTCTGAAATTTTTTTCTAGCAAATGGACATAACTCGGTAAAAATAGTTGCTAAGAATAATGGACACAAGCGAGAAAAGTCTCAAAGGTATTTGAGAGGTGCATAAATTAATTTTAAAATCTTGCACGGCGTAGTTACAATTAATATGGTTATAAAATCCTGTCTGTCTGGTTTTTTTCGGACTTTACTAAAGATTGGACGTATTTGATGTTTTTAATATTTTCGGTAACTAAATAAATTTAAAAAAAAAAGCAATAACAATTTGGTTTTCACGTGTAATGGCGACATAAACAATGGCATCCTGCTATTGGATAGGCCGACATAAATTTTATTGTACACATTGTAAGCTAAAAATAGAAAACTAGGTCATGGGGTTTTAAATTTGCATTGTTATTTAAAAACTTGATCTGCAAAGTTTTGTAAACAAATAGTTATCGATCACTAACTTACTGTACAGCCAATCAATATTTGTCTTACGAAAGTGAAAATTCCGGTTATAACTTAGGCTTGATGGAAATAAATAGAGATGTAGCCTTAAACTCAACAAATTATTTTCAAGTTCTCTGGATTTGCAACTTTTATAGCATTTATTCTAAAAATATAAAATTTCTAAATTAATTTTAGGCTTAAGTTTTTATTTTTTATTTTTTTTTACGGTCTAAATCTAAAAAGCATGTTTTTATTCCATGTCAACAACACTATGGAAGGAATCTCGTCAACTCGCTTGTCTCCATTAATAAATTTAAAATCCAGGTGCATTTAAAAATTAAAACAAAATTATAATTTTCAAAAAGGAAATTTTGATGCAGTTTCTTGTGCATTACTTTTAATTACAATGAACGAAGCATTTCAATTAAAAAAGCAGCACCAAACTTAATAGTGGAAAAAATGGTGTACATAGAATAAGCGTTTTTGGATATTAAGGCTGTACCACATAAGAAAATTCTTGGATTAAGGCACACAGGACAGTAAAGGGTTAAGCAATATTTAAAGTTTTCTGTTAAGCTGTTACATTAAACAGGCCAGACGATAACTTACTTTATTAGCAAACTTTTTATTTAGAGCTTCTCGAATAGCATCCATGGTGTCCAGGTGGAATAAACGAGGAAGAATTCGGACAGTGTCTTTCATCTGAACCAGAACAAACATCTTCGTGTCTTGGACTGATGAAAAGTTTTTTGTGATACAGGAAAAACCGCAATGCCTTTTGTCATCAGTATTCCTCACACTCAGTACTACAAAACATTAATTTAAATTAACAAATTAGTAAAGTAGGTCTACTCTTTGAAAAACTGAAAAAGTAAAATTAAGATCAAGATGGTTGAACATGAACAGTCAGCTAGGGCAGCGACAAAGAACTAAGAATGAAAAATAAGACAAATGTGAGTACAGTTTACAAACAAGAGTAATAGTAAACGTCAATACTAGCTGTAACTAATTAGGCCTAGGCTACTTACTAGTCTAGTAACTATAGTCTACAGTCAATAGTAGCATCTAGAGTCTAAAATACTCAAAATTAAATTGTCTAAATTACTCTAAATCTTAATCTAGGTTACATATATTATTATTATCAATATATATTATTATGGGAGTAGGGGAAATGCGAGAAGTGAAATGCAAGACCAAAAAGTCAAGGAGGTAAATTGAATGGTGAACAAGGGTGCGAAAACTACTGATTCGCATCTTACCCTAAAACTAACGGCCTAACGCCACCTGATACTTATACTAAGTAATTACTAAGTTATACTCATGGGTAAGGGGTCGGCGTGGTCGAGTCGGTAAAGCTCATGGTTGCTAAACCGAAAAGTCTCAAGTTCGAACCCTTGGGCAGATGAGGCTCGTTAGCTGGGGACAGCCACTCTTCTAGGAGAGACAACTCCAAAATTAAACAACTGCTGCCTTGTAGTTTGTTCTTGGTTGGACAAAGGCTATGGAAGCAAATCCAAAAAGAAAAACAGGCTGAAATCGGAGTCAATGGCCTCAATGGCGCATAACCAGTTGACACATAACGCTTAATTGTGTTGGAGGCATTGTCGAGTCGGCAAAAAAGCTCATGGTTGATAAATTCGAACAAAGTCTTGAGTTCAAACCCACTGGCAGATAAATCTCGATCCCCTTCAATAATAATAATAATAATAATTATTCGAAGAAGAAGAAAAGAAGACTCATGCCCATGGGTAGGGGTAAAATGAAAAATGCGAAGATAACCTCTAAAATTAAACCGCATCTGATTTACAGATTTTATAAATATCTAGATCTAGTCTATTTTTTTTTTTTAAATACGCTCCCGTCGTAAGTGTGTACGCCGTGTATGCAAAGCGGCGAATAAAATAAAAATACTCTAAAAAAAATATTGGTAATCTATCGTTTTGGGTACGTAAAATCGCCCGCGGCTATTTATGTACGAAAACGTTACCTCATTGTCAAGGCTTTAATAGAAGTGTATTGTCATACTTTTGTGTCAAATATTATAGATAAATGAATAATAAACCTAAATCAATGGCTAAATATATCGATATAGGCCAGAAATTAACTTTAAACAGCAGTGTCTGAGAGCAAGATTTGATATAAACAGCAGCCATTTGTAAAATAGAGTGGCTTCCCCCTGAATCTGGCGCTAAAAGCTTATAAAAATAAAACTTAGACAAGATGGCTGCTATAGTAAATGAGCATGGTTGCATCTGTTGGAAACATCGCTAGTCTTCATTTATTACGGAAAAGTTTTAATTCAATTGTTTAAAAACAGGTACATAAATGAATCAAGGAAACATTTTTGAATTTTTTAAAACATAAATCCTCCTCAAAATGTGAATAAATTATTAAAATTTAAGGAGTCACCTGTTTTTCACATTACAAATCGCGGGCGATTTTACGTAGGCCTACCCAAAACGATAGATTACCAAAATATTAAATAAAATGGAGTTTTACCTTTAGATTTTAGATTTATCTAGATTTTCATTAAAATAAAACTAATACTTGGTCACTCTATTGTGTGAAATTAAATCTAGGCCTAGAGTCCACATAGATCTAGATCTAGCTCTACATCTAGATTATGCCTAATCTAGAAGAAGTCGAGGTTCTATTCACAATCACATTGATTGTTGTGTAGCTAGCGAAGAGAATCATAGTTTTTATATTGCACAGAACAATTACAAATGTTGAATCGTGCATTTGTATTTATTTAACCCGCCGCGGCGACCGTCGAAATTGAAATTATGAAATAAACAGTAGATCTACACATTGTCAAAATCAAGCTGTTTTTTTTTTTACTTTAAATATATTTGACTTTAAAGTATTTTTAAACATCTTTTGAAATTTTAAAAATAATTTGTTTTTGCGTTATTAAAAACTATTCACATAAATGGACGGTTAAAAAGGCGTAACTAAGCTAGATCTCTAGGCTATCTGGAACCACCTAATTGCTAGCCATGGTAGATCTCTATATATATGATAAGCCTGTAAGTCTATAATGGCTTACGACAAATTCCCGCAAGACAGTTGTCTAGATCTAGATTCTAGATGCCGGAAGGCCGTTTTCCCAAATGGACGCTTACCCGAATGAACACCTGCCAGAATGTGAGATAGCCCGAATGGACAATTACCCAAATGCCGTTTACTAAAACATAACAGTTTCTCTGCCATGGGAAAATAAATTAAAAAAAAAACGGCATGATTTAAACACAGGGAAACCATTTTTAATATTACTTTTATATGTTAATTCCGCTGACTTTAGTGAAAGGAAAGGGGGGGGGGGGGGCGTAGACGTTCTTCAATGGGGGCGGGGGGCTCGCATTGGTATGGATATGATTCCTTCAGCGTACCGCGTGAGCGCGGGTGGCGGTCACGGGGGACGGTAGACTTTCTTCAGGGGGGGGGGGGGGGGGGGGGGGGTCCGGTAAAAGCTACGGTAAAAAAACAGCCAATGTTCTCACGGACGTCCGCCTAGAATCAAACTTCTCCCTTAACTTTGGCGTAATCTGAACCGACGATGAATAAAACGCCACTATCCCCCCCCCCCCCCCCCACCCCGGTCGTCCGCGCCCTGAAAGTCCACAACAAATTCTTAAACAGAGAGCGTAGAAAAGGACGCCTTGAACGTCCGTTTGTTTATATACAATGATATAGTTATACAGTTATAGATCTAGTATTATTTATGAGATAAGATCTAGCTAGATCTTATTAATATTTAATTCATTGATATTGGAATCTTATCTATTTCTACTAGTATTAGTAATACTTATCTAGATCTAGATCTAATTCCACTACTGCATGGTAAATAAAAAAAATAATCAAAATTAGTTGATTATTAATTAAGGGTTTATTATCAGACACTGGTAATATCAATGCTCCTTCAATGGGACAATGTCCTGAGTCTCAAACAGGGATGCATGGGCACTTTAATATGACATAGAGGTTAGCTATCGGAAGTTGTAGTGTTTGTCGAAATGTTCTCTAGTGTTTATTTGTGGCTTGGTTGTCGGTTACAGCCTAAGCAACTCTACTTGATCCTATCAGGGCAGCATTGATCCTGTAGGACATCAAGTACGGCTTCTTTAATGTTAACACCAATCTAACACAGACAACCGCTACAGGTTTTTCTACAGAACACTACAGTACACTGGTGCCATCAACCATCGTGTTTGACGAAACAACCTCATGTAAAACCCGAGACCAGAGTTGAGTATCCGGAACCGCTTGAGTGTCGAAACACATAGCTGGGGTCGGCGAGCAGGAAATTTAAATGTTTTTGACTTCAAGGTGGCAAAGATTGGGGTGGTTCTCGTGTATAGTAGGTTTTATAACCCCAACTTTTTATGGGATAACTAGTTGAGTACCTGGAGCCATTAAGGGGGAAGGCTCCGGTAAAAAAACACTTTTTTTATACTCGTTAGAAAACATTTTTTTTAGTGGAAATACATATGCGAATGTATCAGCCGTAAAGAAATAACTGTTTTCTAACGAGTATTAAAAAGTTGTTTTTTTAACCGGAGCCTTCCCCCTTAACTTTTCTTTGCCTCCGGAACATTCGTATGTTTTAACTCTACCTTAGGGGTGTCTAGGACTCAAGTAAAATCTGGGATATGGAGAGCTCAAACTGCTAGTTGTGAATATAGGCTACCAGCTGCAAACCAACTAGCTTTGACTCTCTCCCAATTTTTTAATTAAAGGGGCTACAGTATTTTACAATTATCAAGTAAAATCTGGGATATGGAGAGCTCAAACTGCTAGTTGTGAATATAGGCTACCAGCTGCAAACCAACTAGCTTTGACTCTCTCCCAATTTTTTAATTAAAGGGGCTACAGTATTTTACAATTATCAAGTAAAATCTGGGATATGGAGAGCTCAAACTGCTAGTTGTGAATATAGGCTACCAGCTGCAAACCAACTAGCTTTGACTCTCTCCCAATTTTTTAATTAAAGGGCTACAGTATTTTACAATTATCAAGTAAAATCTGGGATATGGAGAGCTCAAACTGCTAGTTGTGAATATAGGCTACCACCTGCAAACCAACTAGCTTTGACTCTCTCCCAATTTTTTAATTAAAGGGGCTACAGTATTTTACAATTATCAAGTAAAATCTGGGATATGGAGAGCTCAAACTGCTAGTTGTGAATATAGGCTACCAGCTGCAAACCAACTAGCTTTGACTCTCTCCCAATTTTTTAATTAAAGGGGCTACAGTATTTTACAATTATCAAGTAAAATCTGGGATATGGAGAGCTCAAACTGCTAGTTGTGAATATAGGCTACCAGCTGCAAACCAACTAGCTTTGACTCTCTCCCAATTGTTTAATTAAAGGGGCTACATTATTTTACAATTATCAATGTTACTTAAAAAATTAACCTATTAACAGCACCATTCATTTTTAGTTTTAATTATAGGCTAGTATTAGTATAATTAGGGGACAGAGTGGTCTAGTGGTAGAGAGCTGGACTGCTAACCCGTAAGTCTCGAGTTCGAATCCGGGTTCAATACTCTTTTATTTCCTGTATCGTGGTGTTGTACATGCAGGTAATAATAGAAATATTATTTTGTTTAGGTAATTTTCCAAAATAGAAACTAAATTCAACATTGTGTTGTGTTTAGTATTTCATCATATTCCCTTAAGCATTCTTAACAATTTATTATTGTTTCCCAGTAACCCACTTTTCGTTTAGATATTATTTTATTTTGATAATTTTTTTTTCTATAGTGTTATGCTTGGTATAGTTGTGAGCCTCGATTTTAGTTACTTTACATTAAATGTGTTAAATTCATTCAGTCTCATTAGTTATCAAAACGCTTTTTGTTTTTAGAAAACTTGAATTCTTAGAGGAGTGTTGTTGATCAGCCATTTTAATTTTATGCCCCCCCCCCCCCGTCCCTATTAGGCTTATACTTATATACTTAATCAGTCCCTGGCCCAAACAATCCCCTCCCACGGGCCGTGGGACACAATGGGATAGTGGAGAGGATTCTGGCCACTAACACTTCCCCTGATATGCTACTCTCCATGCCATTATCTACACATGTGGTCATTCTCTGGACTGTGAAGAACGCTGGGATGATAAAATTAACAAAGATGAAAGGTCCAACAGTCTACCTTTTTTTTTTTTTTTGGTGTGTTAAAAGTTTTTCTGTTGGTGCTGAGTTTTAAAATAAAAAAACCAGAATTAACTCTGGATAGCTAAAACAACTCATGCATCATTGTTTGTAGTTTGCCGTATTTAACCAATGTCCGCCCGTTTCTCTTGTGTCAATAAAAACTTTAGCTTTATTTGTACTGTCTAGTCTATGCCAATGTGTAGCTCTATTTATATTTCATTGGATAAAGGGAATCTAATCTTGTCGAATACTGAAAAACTGTAAATTGAATTAGCTCCCCTATTTTTCGTGTCACTCTTTCCTTGAGTACAGAAATAATCAATAATTAAATTAAACCAACTGCCGTTATACACAATTTATGTAACACCCGTGTTTATTTCATTGTTTATATTACATAATTACTGATGCACGCCTTTCCTTTAAAAGCACTCCCGTAAAATTCTGTTTGTTACTTCCAAACATGGTTACCATTGGAATGTCTACTTTTTGTATCCTCACTAGTCTAACATACAGCCAGTCCTTCTATGGAGCCGTGCGCAAACCTTCTGTTTACAATGCTCGTAACGTGTGCAAAAGGGCGACGTCCCAGTAGAAATTGTCCATCCAACAGGTTTCATTCGGCATAATTTGCAGCTCTGATAAGTGGCATTTAAAAAACGCAGTTCAGTAGTTGATCTTGGCTGATAAATATTTGCGTTTAGCGTTTTAAAATTTATATACATCAAAATGCCTAAGTGTCCCAACTGCCAAAAAGAAGTTTATTTCGGTAAGTTTTATGACTATATTTTTAAAATAACAGGATAATAATATTTGCATTGATTAATTTGCCGAATAGGCTAAGTCACTAAGTGTATATGAAATAGGTCTATCGTACTGTACAGTTTATGTATGACATATTTGGCTATTTTAGCAGATGTGAGCGTGTTTATGGGCGTGTGTGCCTATTTAACAAATGTATGTGGTGTTTAGTTTCAACAGGTTAAAAAATAGACTTGAAAACATTATGAAAGGCATTGTTTAGCCTACTTTTATTCTTTTTTTTTTTAAATAATAATAATTGGTAGATCTAGACTTTCAATTGTCTTGCAATTTAAAAAGAAAACAACAACCGCAAATTGTAGGCCAAGGGCAGACCTACTCACTGTGGTACGTAATGACTCTAGGAAGAAGGGATACTATACGGTGTTTTTGGGGGGGGGGGGGTGCAATAAGGAAGAGCGGGAAATACTGCTTCCCGCTCATCGTTGAATTATATCACGTGCTTTGGTGATGTAATCATTTTGTGCACAACCCCGCCCATCTCCTTCAGTTACATACCGCCGAACAGTCGTTAATTTATGAATAACTTACGTTAGGAAAAGTCTTAAAGCAACTGAAGAAATAGTTAATCATACAACGGTGTACGTCTTCAGAAATAGTAAACAGCCAAGTGTGTGGATTTTTTTTGTTACAGGAGAATATAGTATAGTAGCCTTATCTACCTACTATGACTATGTCCCCCCCCCCTCCCCCCACTATCGGTGAGGCGCCAGTGTTAAAATTGTATTTTAATAGTGCCCAGGCATATCTCACGATAGTAATGATACTGACGTCATCTGTGTTTCCCACTGTCTCCTCCCTCTGTTATCAGCTCCAAAAACTAAAAACGCCTACACCCATGTCACAGCTTTAGCCCTAAACCCACGTAACAAATACAGCACATACCACTTAGTCAGTGTACACCCATGTCACTGGTTTAGCCCTAAAACCACGTCACAAATACAGCACATACCACTGGGTCAGTGTACACCCATGTTACTGGTTTAGCTTTAAAACCACGTCACAAATACAGTCTATGCCACTGTGGTTAGTGTACACAAATGTCACTCGTTTAACCCTGTACCCACGTCACAAATACAGTCTATACCCCTGTGGTTAGAGTACACAAATGTCACTGGTTTAACCCTGTACCCACGTACACCATCGTCACCTAAAAACTTGCATGTCCCCAATACGTACCTTTGTATGCAATATGCATACAATACTTCTTGTGTGTTTGTTGTGACGCACCATTATAAACTTTTACCTGCTAGTTTGATTGACAACATGTTGTCTACATACCTGCTTACAAAACCTAACACAGACAACAATTGGTCGGGGCCTGAACTATCCGTGTGAGCCTACATCAGCCTTAAATCATGCCATGATCCCTTTAGTATAGGGGCACCTGAGTCCGTAGGCTTCAGCTCAGCATAGGCCATGGCATCTTTCTTTAAATGGAAACTCCCAAGTGAGTAATATAGGTGTGGTAGCGTTAACAATGGGCGGACAGAAATCTGTACCAAAATTAAACATGGGTGTATGCTAAATATTTCTTTCCTATGTCATCTGGAAAGCCCTTATCACAGTCACGTGAGACTTTACTTCCTCTGCTTACCAAAACGACACTGTTGCCTGCATTTGATTCTGCAGACGGGTGATTGTTTGCATTTAGGTGTAAATCTAGATCTAGATATCTAGTGGTGACTACAGCACGTTCACAATCACATCACCCCCGGCGTTACTATTTTTAGCCTGACCGCACGCAGACACGGATGACCCGTTCAACCAATAAATAAATCGATTAAGAGTTATGACCTACTTTCTTACAGCACGTTTATTTACAGCTCACAAAAATAGAATCAATATTGTTTTGGTTTTATAGCACCTATCCATTAGCCAATGCCTCGTGTTGGATGAAAGCCTTAGATGCCGTAAGCACAGAACTATTTTCTGACGTGTAATTAGAAATGTAAATAACAAACCATATAATCTTACATAGATATTAGGCCGTAAGATACGTAATGTTTGTTTTTGTATGCTTCCACGTGATGATGTATTTTTGTCCTATATTATCAGAGGTCTTATGCAGTGGCTCCAACCTGGGTTCGATCGAACCCCAGGGGTTCGATGAGTCAGTCTAAGGGGTTCGGTGGAGGTCAAGACAGATCCGATTGATATGATTCAATATCGGATTTTGTCAGCGCGGACGATAGAACTATAAGTAGGGTTCGGTGTTAACGCATATAAAACTGCCGGGATTCGGTACCTCCTAAAAAGTTGAACTACTAGTCTATGGCTGTATCCTTTTATTACAATTTTATACCCCGCAGTTTTTTTTTCTTCTTTTCATTTGAGTAAATCCTGGTTAGGCGAAAATATTTGTGTAGTGCACTTAGACTATATGGCCCATAGACCGTGATTTATTCGGCTTTGGAATTGTACATAAGTGTTCTACCCCCGCCCTATCCCCGTTTTACCTAGATGCGTTAAAGTACTTAAACGCTTGATAGATTTTACTGGTAAATTCATCACTGCTCGAGCCTTGGATTAAAAATCACGGTATGAAAACTATAATTTAGCCTAAGGGTTTAGTTTAGAAATAGGGTTTGTATGTAAGGTTTAGGACAAGAGTGGTAAAATAACATATTTGAGGAAACGGTCAGAAATACGTTTTATAAAAGTTTTGGAGGAGACTGGGATGACAGAAAAACCGCTCACTTATTGGTGGCTTCAAGGATCTAACGCAACAAATCATATGAACCGAAATGAACCAATCCATTTTTTTTTTAAAAATACTGTCAATGAGTGTTTAAATTAAATGGAACAGTTTCTAACTACAACAAGCCGCAGCCTCGTCATGGGAATGTTCAAGCAAAGGGTGGGGTCAGCGCGGCGTAATTTCCTGCCGGTGACGCAGTGGTTTAGAAGTCACCAATAAGGGCTAGCGTTACATTTAGACAGCGCGCGGGGTCACGTTCCTTATACAAACGGTACAATGGTAAGCCCCGTCTCGTATTTTGACCCACTTCTGAGGAAAAGAACTCGACTCATGCAATCTTCCTGAATGAGAATGTCAACTCTATACAAACATATTCTTCGCAAACTGTACAGTATCCTTTAAACAGACAAGTGAATAAATAGTTTAAATACCCCCTCTTTCTTTTGTGTCGATTAGGTTTGTTCCATATGCAAAATCATTAAGAATAATAGTCTGTTTGTATTACTTTTTATAATTTTCACACGTCCTAATTTATTATGCCGAAGGTTTATGGTTGCTTTGTTTATTTTTGGGCGTTGCCCTGTTTGACTCGAAGATAAAAGCACTTTTTTTCCAGGCTTCTGTTGGTAATAGATTATTTCCGTTGCTTTCTTTTGGTGTACCTTTTAGGTCTAGTGTTCATACTTACAGGCCCATAACTAGACGTATCTAGTAGCTTGTCTTTGCTAATAAAACGTTTAATTTGAGAGAAAGAAAAAAACACATTTAAAATAGGCCTGATAAAATGGGTTCACACTTTCTCGGCATTCGTCGATGGGTCGTGATTTTAATATCCCCTGAGCTGGACCCCACTCTCAATCTTCCAACCCAGCCATATACTTAACTCTAAACCTAAGTGGCTGAAGTAGAGCCATCAACGTTTTATCTACAGAAAAATTTCTTTCCGGCATTCCCCCAACGCAATCTCTCACCCATACCGGAGCCTCCTCACTATCCCCCCCCCCCCCCTTGGACGGAAAAAATAATATCATATTGAGATAAAGTATACATACTTTGTTAATTCTTAGAATTAACCCCCCCCCCCCCCCCGAAAGTTTAAAATTTCCTCCCCCACCCCGGCGTAAAACAAAACATGTGAAAGAAATCCTGATACAGAAGTATATTGATCCGGGAAAACACCAGTAACTGAATTGAATATGTGGGTACGGCTAATCAAGCACAAACGATTATTCAGAGCTCCTCTATCACACAGTCGCATGGGTAAATATTGACACCCCACAATTTACTGCATATAGTCAGCACTATAGCTGGTAGTATAGGGCTGTTGATAGTATGAAGACGGGGCTAGACAACAGAGGAGTAAACACAGTTTTAATGATCTGTGAAATAATTTAGGACACACTGTAAGTGGCTGGTGTGTGGTTGTGTCATGACCTAAGTCTCTAGAAAAAAGGCCTTTAAATTTACATCCTATGCTTAAACCTATGCAATTTTATACACAAAACAGTTGCTTAAACCTCTTCATTCCAGTACAAATCACATCATATGACTATATGACTAAACCTACAAATCTGCATTTCAAAATACAAGACCTCCCAGGCTTAAACCTAAACTTCTGCATTTCAATATATTATAATACACAACAGGCCTCTGCATTTCACTACACTCTTTTAAAAATAACATCATCACTATAATAAGCCTACACAACATCAGCATAACAGATGTGACCACCTTCATAAAATGCTGACTCCCATTGCCTGCTGTCTAGCCTACAATAGTTATGTTCACATCACAAATAAAAATCACCCGCCCCCTTCCAAAATATTGTGACGAATGCTTGTCTGCTACAGTAGAAATGCTCAAGTGACAACCCCCCCCCTCTAGTATTTTGACGTCTGCTATGGTAGATAACCTATGTTTATGTCCTGAACACAAACTGCCTCAATGCTAACGTACAGAGCACGTATTCACTCGTCGGATAAGTGAAGTAGAGACTTTTTTTCTGTCTTAGAATGCCGTCCAACTGGGACTTAAGAAATGTGTGCTATATTTAGATCTGCCAACTTGTGCCAATGGTAAAATTTAACGTAACAGCTTTTAATAGGGAATAATATTGTGTTAGCGTTTGTAGTCAAAAGACAGCTGATAGTGCCTCGGTGTCAGAGTTTCTTCTACCCCCCCCCCCTCCCAACGAGATGGAATTTATATAGTAAACATATTCTTTTACTAGTGTCCCCCCACCCCCCCCCCCCCCCAAAAAAAAAATGTTGACCCCCCCGAAAATATCGAGTCCCCCCCCCCCCCCCCCCCCCCCCCGGAGAAAAAAGTCTGGAAGAAACACTGCTCGGTGTTAAACGGCCATGCCGTACCTACAATTTATATTAACATAACATACAGGCAAATTTCAAAATTTACGTGTAGAAGAAACAAATCGATCTGGAAAATTTACAGCTTTGTGCTATTTATATATTTAATAAACAAATCTATTGAAAAAAAAATGTTTTACTATTTTTTTAATCAGCCAAAAATAATGATTGAAGCCCTATTCTTGTGTGCCATCAAACGGTGATCATGTCACGTGATAAGGGATTATGTCAAGAATAATCTGGACTGTTACGTCAGCGTGGCTCCGTTTGTGTTGTTTTTGGGGAGATAACACACAAACTAAACAGGAGTTACCTTGACCCACATAATCTCTCCTCAAACAAATTCCGCCTGAATGGCCCCAATAAAATCGATTGCACAACCACGCATTAGCCCCCAACTGTAAAAAGCAACCATTGTTTGGTATTTGCCCAGTTTTTTTCCTCTTTCTTTTTTCAGCATAACTTTTTGAGAATTGTTCTGTTTAATTAAAAAAAAAAAAAAAAAACGAATGCAAAGGACGTAATAAATGAAATGGTAAAAATGTACCACCCTTCCATTTTCGTAAATCTTCTTTCACTTTCACCGAAAACTTGTTTTTTTTTTTCCTTTTAATAACCGGAATATGTTTTAGAGTAATATTTTCCTGCACCTAACCACGCCTTGGTGCGTCATTGTTCCGTCTCTGTCAAGCACGTGTGCGGTAGAGGGTGTGGATTTGTTAAATCGACCACATAAGCGTGGTAATTTTAGTCCGATCTAGAAAGTGTAAACACACGCCCGATGACTAAGACAATAGCGGGAGACAAATTGTGTTTACACCGCATCGGCTGAGTGAGTTGTCACACGGGATCGCCTGTGTAGTAGACAGCTGTTTAAACGACACAGCTTGTATTCACAAGTTAGTTCACAGCTGTCTGAAACTCGAACACACTCACGTGATAAATTTCCAAGAAACTACTAGGCAGCTCTTTTATATTCAAAGGTTTAAAGTTTAAGGTAATGATGTGCCATGCAAACGACGGATAATAGTCTCACGGGGTTCTTGCTGACATTTTTTCTCGACCCCGCACCCCCGGAGAGATATCTGAAACAACTCTGATAGTCTCTTTTAAAAAAAGTGGTTGCAAGTAGGGCTACTCTAAAGGGACTACTTATACTAATGGCAACTTTAACCCGACCTTAACCCTAGAGTCTAGACTTAAACTCAGCCATGACATAACCTCAAACGTTGGTAAACCTTCACAACAAACACCCCTTTTGTTGAAAGACGCCATTGAGCGACTCTATTAAGGTGCACAAATTACTCAGCAAAATGAAACAATTTACGTGTCGCGCGGTTTTTTGTGTGGAGAAAGATGTGTTCCACGTCACTACCCCGGTACACTGTTTATTCAGTGACACGGCCGGGTGTAGCAGAACCGGTAGCCATGTTGATTTGAGGGGGCTATTTTAGGGACTACTGCGGGAGCTCCGGGCAAACAGGTAGTCGTGTGTTGACTGTGTGAAGATTAATTGTGGGGGTTGACAGCACTAGACTACCATCTATAGAGCTACCTGCGTACTCAGTACTTAGATCTACAATGTTGTTTTTTTAAACGCATAATATAATTTACAAAAAAAATATCATGAAAAACACACACCAAAACACGAGAGGTAAAGAATAAAAGGGGAAAAAAAGCATTTATAAAATAAACAACCCTCCCCCTTCCCGGATATATAAATCAAAGTCAACAAAACAGCATAATATGATACAATCTTTTGATTTAAGGCAAATTTCGGTCTTTGTCAATCAGTTGCTACGATGTCAGTCAGTTTATTATAAATGAACAGGAACTACAACTTTACATCCGCGAAGACTTCATCTATTGCTTCTAAAGATTTAGTGACGACAAATTAACAGCCCTGTTGCACTTTATACGCTGCTGTACTCTGTAGCGGATTTACGTCGCTTTTTATCTAAGTAAATAACAGAACACTTACTAAGCATATTTAAGACAGGACAATTTTCAACACACGAAAACCACAACCAAAGATCCTGATAGCATTCACTAGACTGTTTACAGTACGTGTTTGCAAGAATTTTGTGAATGAGTCTGGTGCAATTGGTTTTTAACGCTAACATTACATGTTTTCCGAAATACAGAAAAGGGGGAGAACTTGGTTTGTACTTTCTAGCCATTAGTCACCAAGGGGAGGGAAGAATGGTAAACACATCAGCTGACGCGCGATTTCCAGTGGTTATTTTTAAAAAGTGCAGACAAATGTGTATAAATTTACTTTTTATTACTTTTCGATTATTAAATTAACTAACACTTTACTAAAAATATTTATGACTATTGGTAGTTTATTTTCGAGCTTTACATACAATTTTTACTACAGTAAGTGTTTTTTAAACATTTAAACGAACCTGATCTATGCTAGTTTTAAAAACAATAAATTGCAAAATATAATGTCACTTTTTAACCATCCTCTCCTCGTCACACAGCATTACAATTTTAGGGATAGAATTCGAAATAAGCCTTTAGTTATGGTCAATTGTGAACACACGCAATAGTTTATATCAGGGGTCTCCAAACTTTTCAGCCTCAGGGCCGCCTTAACTATCAAATATCAGTTCAGGGGCCAATTTTCTTCAATGCATCCCTTTAGGGTGGCGGTGCCCCCCCCCCCCCCCCAACGGAATATAACGTATATAGAAATATATATAGAAATATATTCACATTTTAAATGCACCCCACCAGGAGAAAAAGTCTGAAAGAAACACTGTCGGGGGCCGACAACACACTCTAGATCTTAGTTTTTTCTCCTTGGGCAAACACAAAAACCCACCCGCCATTTTTTGAACTTGTCTCTAAGGAAGTCATTTGCTTGCAATTCAATGACCTCCATCTGCAGTTCATCTGGGCAACTGGTTACATTCGCTTCAAATAGGTTTTGAAACAGTCTCACTTCTTCTGCCTTTAAATCCTTGTCAGAAAATTGCTACTGAAACTACAGCTGGAGGTCTTTGATGATCTCGCATGCAAATGATGTGGGCAACTCAGCTATTGTTTCAGCTATAAAGACCTTGCACTGCTGAAAGTGCGTCAAGTTGTTGCCCTGTACTTGTTCCAAAAACACGGAACAGCTGTCCAGCGACTCATCCATTGCAATTGAATAATTGCGAAACTAGTAAGCAGTTTCCACTATTTGAGTGACAATGTTTTCATCAATGTCTGCAACACCGCGGGCAATGGTATTTGCACCTAAAGCTACATTTTCAAATTATTTTGAATTTTCTGGACAAAGTTCCTCAGCCACCTCTAACATACATTTTTTTCCGTGAACAAAAAGATCACCGCGGGCCGGATGAGAGGACCTCGCGGGCCGCATCCGTCCCGCGGGCCGCATCCGTCCCGCGGGCCGTAGTTTGGAGACCCCTGGTTTATATTATGTGACTTTAGTTGCTAAAAGGTTACCTCCCGTTTCAAAATTTAAACCAAATTTTCTATCATGGGAGACAATACATTTAAATTCTACAGCCAACACAAAAATTGTTTATTTAAGCAAAGAAAATGAAAAGTGCACTATGATTTGTATTTTATCGAAAAGATAAATGAAAATAATGATATTTGCTCTGGTTTAAATATTAATTCTTAAACAGCAACATATTTAATCTCAACTGTATTTAAATACAAACGCTTTGGCTATATTTCAAGACTACGAGCTTTATTATATCAGTTTGTTGAATACAAGTTACTGTGCTTTTGAAATTGGTCTCCGTCTCGCACGCAAGTGCTGACAAAGTTGTCTGAGAAGTCGCTCGATCTCTTTGAGATAAAAAAAAAAGATACGCATACTAACGATAGGGGACATATAAATTTGTGTTTGACATTTTTCTCATTGAGTGCTTCTCTATTTCACCCATCTAATTTACAGTAATCCCACAACATACTGCTAATCATATGCGTGGCCTTACACCTTTGATTCTTCACATGTTCCCTAATAATAGTAGGCAGAGGCGTAGCGAGGGGGGCGGACCGCACCCCGGGTGACACCATTTAGGGGGGTGACACCAAGGGAAAAAATAGCAAAATATATAGAGAAAACTTGAGGGGGGGTGTAAATCGAAAGTTTGAGGGCGGGTGCAAATCGAAAATTTGAAAGTTTGTCCCCGGGAATGGTCACTACGCCTCTGGGGGTGACACCATTAAGTGCTGCACCAGGTGACACCCGACCTCGCTAAGCCACTGATAGTAGGCCTATCTCCCATTCAGTTTTCAAAACATTGAATGTCTTAAAAACCACAATTTTACTCTACTTTTGTCTGTCAACGGCAATTTTCCTGGCAGTCCCCCTTGACAGTTCTGCCTCTGCCAGCTGCTTGCCCGCTCTGCGCCTCTACGTATCCCTTGGTCTTCCTTGTGTAGCCGTTATTTCTGTTTTCAGCCGAGAGAAAAACTTCTATGGGCAAAGACTGGCACCCAGCCTGTTTGAAGTGCGGGAAATGTGGGAAAACTCTTGCACCAGGCAGTCACTCAGAGGTCAGTTATTGCCCTTGATTTTAAATATGGTTATTATTATTCAAGCTTCGCCCTTGATTTTAATTTTTTTTTTAAATTTAAGTTCAAGTATCGTCTATTATTTTAAATGTTTTATTAAAAGTCAGTTATTTCCCTTATGTGTAAAGCCTGATTTTATTAAATTCAAGTATAGCCATTTATTTTAGATCTGTTTTTATAAGTCAATATATAAGGAAACCCTTACTGTACAAAACCTTGTATTACATAAATGTCTGATATACTTTATCTACCCACAGCATGAAGGAAAACCTTACTGTACAAAACCTTGTTACGCTTCATTGTTTGGACCTGAAGGTGGGTGTATGATTGTTAAAATCTCCAATCGGTGTCTAACCCTGCAAACATTTAATTTTCTAATTTTCCAATCACTTACATATATCTCAGTCATGTTTTAAAACTCCAATCAGTGTCTAATCCTGCTATCATTTAATTTTCTAATTTTCCAATCACTTACAAATGTCTCAGTCATGTGTTAAAACTCCAATCAGTGTCTAATCCTACTATCAATTAATTTTCTAACTATCCAATCACAAATGTCTCAGTCATGTTTTAATACTCCTATCATTTGATTTAAATGCTCCATTAATTATATAATGCTCTAATTTTTTTATTTTCTAATGCTATAATAACTTTTTGGTGCTTCAATCACTGCAGTGGCAGTACAAAAAAAGATAGATGAGTGGAACTGATTGTACAAAACATTTTTAGCACCCTATTATTCATATCAATTTTTCTGAAAAATTTTATAATATTCCCAACAAATATTCCCAAAAAAATTCTTTAAAAGTGTGATAAATGAACAACATCATTTTCACACTTTTGTAGAATTTTTTTAAAAATCCAGATTTACTTAAAACTTGTAATAGTAACAATTCAAAAAAATACAATCTTTTTATATTAGAAAGAAGTGAAGGATTTAAATTTAAAAACGTGATGATGAAGTGGGGGCAGGTGGTTTGACTTTGCTAACACCTTCATAGATGCATTTGGGCCAAAACATAAACTAAGTAAAGCCTAATTATACTTATACCATTGGCAGATGAACTTGTCTCAACAAATTTGTAGAAATTGTCAGAAAATTATTTTTTTAGATGTACCTCCATTTTTAAGTGAAATAAATTATAACTAATTTTTCCAAAAACTAAATCTAAATTATCTGACATAAATTGTAGGAAATGGTTTTTTTTTTAACTTAGCAAATGTTCGATATGAAATAATTTTCTGGATTTGATAAAATTTGATTTGAATTATTTCCCGCAGGTTTTGGGCGTGGTGGAACCTCAGGGGACAAAGCAGTGTACAACAAATAGACTATCCCAGGCCACAAGATCCATCAACCTCATATCCCCATACTTCATGTTGTTTGTGATATAGCTTTAGATTTATGTTTATATATACACATACGTCTTCAATCATTCAGACTTTCAGCAAAATACAATTTTTTTGCAAGATTTCTTTAAAGAACAAACATTTTTATGCTAAAATGCAGGATATTTCTCTATTCATATTTTAATAACTGGTGCTGCTTTGGTGTTTCAGTTTGTTTATTTTAATGGAAATCTTTCATTCCTTTTTCCCTAGTAAAGTTCAGTTCACATTGTAATAGATTGATTCTATTTTCACACAATGTGAGACCAGTCTAAACTGGTTTGTTTGTTTATACAAAGTACAATGAAAGGCCTTTAATCTTCACTTGTTATGCATAAGTAAATGACAACGGCCCTTGTTGGCCATTAGAAGCCCGTACAGCTTTTTTTTTTTTCATTTATTATTATATTTGCACTTTATAAAAACTTGGGAACAAGTTATTTTTATGAAACAAATATGGGAAATAAACATTTTTTTCTCAATCTTCTGTGTATCTGCAATTTTTAACAGAATGTATGAGTGGGTGGCTAACCCCATGCATCATTAAACCGAAATGATATTTAACAAAGAAATATGTATTACAGACACAGGAATTGATATTACTTTCAATACAAGAATTCAGGAATTGAATTGACTTTCATCACATGAATTGAACTACAGGATGGATCAGGCCTATACATTTGGATGAAGTAGCCTACCGTTGAATTAAGTTTAGGCAAATGTTTTTCTTGATGCTAAATTTGAAAAGAAAAGTTAAAGAATATTTTTGTGTTATAAAATGAAAATCGCAGAACACTTGTCATGGTATTAAAATGCATTCAAAGTTGCAGAATATTTATTTCTTGTGAAGAGCTCCACGAACACTATGTGACATCTCGCAAGCACATTTCTTTACACTTTTCTGTTTGAAGTTAGACAAAAGTTTGTATTGATTATGTCTATGTGCACCCAATACTTTTGATAAAATGTTTTAACGACTCAATATCTTCGTTAGATGATCTTTTTTCATAATGAAAATATTTCTATACTGGCTTACTATTTGGAATTTGAATTATTAAGAACGCTCAGAATAGCTTCCCTTTACTCACATTCTTTTTATATATAGGGAGGATAACTGATTGTTGTCTTGGTGGGGAAAAACAATAATAAAGTTATGTCCCAGGGTTTAAAACTTTCTGTCGATAAATGTTATCACTATATAGTGTTTTTCATATAGAAGTCAATGGGTGAACTAAGGCTGTTACATGACAAGAAGTGTTTTTTAATTGTTTCAAATGTAATTTCAAACCTTAATAGAAATCTCAAGCAGTTGTAGGAGTATTGTTCATGCTGTTAATTTTAAGTGGATTACATGCAATTTGACTTTAAGCTTTATCAAAATCTCATTACGTTTTATTTTTATTACGGTTTTTTGTATGTGTTAGCCTAGGGAATGCAAGGGTTTGAGGAATTTGTGTGATTTGGGCTTGACTGTAGCAACATAACAAATCAGGACTTGGAACATGAGATACTAAGTGTGTATCAGACAGATACCCACATCTCTACCATAACCACCCTTATGGTCCAATCATAGCTCTCCCTCCCCCACTACAGACACACTAGCTTCCCCATCCACCCCACTCTATCGACCCCCCCCTCCCACCACTAAGGCAATCACATTAACCACCCCTTCGTCCACACACAATCACACTCTAACTACACAACATGCCCCTCATTAGCTACGATCCCCACCCCACACACATCCCACCCACCAACCCTGCCCTACCCTATCTGACATTAAAAATCCCAAACCTAGAAATGTGCTGAGCTGACAAAATAGCGATCGTGAATCACCTTATTTAAATTAAACGCGGTGACCGATCCATACTGATCCACTGATCTACTGCAACCAACGACACATTGGATTGTTTGTAAGATGACACACTAACCCGCATTCGATTGGCCCGCTCAGGGTTGCTGTGATAAGTAAAGTACCTATACAAGCAGACGTGAGATTGTACATAGGTATGTTTAAATACACCTTGAACATGTGGTCTAATTTTGACCCTGATTTAAAATTTATGGGGGGGGGGGGGATAACAAAGTCATAAAAATAGTCAAATAAATTATGGCCTTAGACCTTTAGCCTTAACATTTCCCAAACGTTGTAAATAACTGTTTCCTTGCTTAATTAAAACTCTAATCTTTACTTACTTAATGAACCTTTACCCTACATTTTCAAGACTAATTATCAGTATCCCTGAACTTAGAACTAGTGAAATGACCACTCGATACACGAGGATGATAATTATGTGGTCCAGTATGTGAATCACTAGTAGAATATGTAGAAATGACGTATAGACCTACTAGTATTTTTATTCACAAATTCAGACTGTTTATTCACAATTCATGGCAAGTTGTTTATGTATTGACTACTGTATAGCCTTGCATAAAATCTACCATAATGAGCATGAAATCTACCATAATGATAACTCTAATAGACAGATTAGTTTAAATACGACTTTACTATATTGATGGCTCCACTAATTAAAGCAGAGCTGACCCCGCCGTGTGTATGTCTCTAATGCTATCAGTCATTACATGACCTAACCTCGCTGCGTGCTGGCTTAAGCATAATTGAAATGACGTCACCGCACGGCTCCAAAAAGACCGTTTAGCTTTGACCTCCTTTCTTCTTAATTACTGCAGCAGCATCGGCCAGTCTTTGGGTCGTGACCTCTTGGTGCACAAGTTATCTGTCCTATTCTTACGGTAAACATCCGTAAAGAGAGGACTCCAACTAATTATTTGATAAGACAGGTGGGGCATTTTTGTCGCATGCTGGCAATCCTGTTTGTACTTGTGGCCTTGAATATATGTATATATATATATACATATATATGTATATATATATACACATATATACATATATACATATATACATATATACATATATACATATATACATATATACATATATACATATATACATATATACATATATACATATATACATATATACATATATACATATATACATATATACATATATACATATATACATATATACATATATACATATATACATATATACATATATACATATATACATATATACATATATACATATATACATATATACATATATACATATATACATATATACATATATACATATATACATATATATACATACATACATATATATACATACATATATATATATATATACATACATATATATATATACATACATATATATATATGTATATATATATATATGTATATATATATATATACATATATATGTATATATACATATACACATATATACATATATACATATATACATATATACATATATACATATATACATATATACATATATACATATATACATATATACATATATACATATATACATATATACATATATACATATATACATATATACATATATACATATATACATATATACATATATACATATATACATATATACATATATATATACATACATATATATATACATACATATATATATATATACATACATATATATATATATATACATATATATATATATATATACATATATATATATATATATACATATATATATATATATATATATATATATATATATATATATATATATATATATATATATATGATATAAACGCCAGGTAAAATGTATATGCAAAGCTAAGGCAATGAAAACAGCAGTTTATTGAAAATAAAATTAGAATATCTTCAATCATTTTTCATCACAGAAAATATCCAAACAATTTGTACGGATCCAACATTGGAAATTTTTTTTTAAAAATAGTGTAAATAAATATATGAGGCTTAGTGCATAGAGAGTTGATGAAACGAAATATAACGAGACTTAGTGCATAGAAAGTTGAAGAAACGAAATATACGAGACTTAGTACATAGAGAGTGGAGGAAACGAAATATACGAGACTTAGTGCATAGAAAGTTGAGGAAACGAAATATACGAGATTTAGTGCATAGAGAGTTGAGGAAACGAAATATACGAGACTTAGTGCATAGAAAGTTGAGGAAACGAAATATACGAGACTTAGTGCATAGAAAGTTTAGGAAACGAAATATACGAGACTTAGTGCATAGAAAGTTGAGGAAACGAAATATACGAGACTTGGTGCATAGAAAGTTGAGGAAACGAAATATACGAGACTTAGTGCATAGATAGTTGAGGAAACGAAATATACGAGACTTAGTGCATAGAAAGTTGAGGAAACGAAATATACGAGACTAAGTGCATAGAGAGTGGAGGAAACGAACCTAAGATTATAGATAGGATCAAGTTGCTGTGTTATCGGTCACAGATAAGTTAAATATAGAACACGTTCCCTTTTTAGATGTGAATAGTGGTCATTGGCGTTAGTAGGAGGGGTGTGGGTGAGGTGGATAGTATCTTTTACCAGTACCTTGACACCCCTTACAAAAACAAGCTAGAAAAAGGTTAATATAAGTAGTTGTAAGTTGTTGGGGAAAACCCCTCACCCCAATCACACCATTTAACAATGTACTGGCGACGCCACAGTGTAGGCCTATGTTAAATCAGACTATTATTGCAAGAATTTTACAAAACATAAAAGGTGACATCGTATTTTTGTGTGAAATGATTACAGCTTTTCTAAACCCACAGGGCTCAATAAAAATAACAGTAAAAATATACGGGAGGTTTAGTCGTGAGCAAGTGTTAAAAATATGGGGCAGATTAAAGTAAGTTATGGGAAATTGGGGAAGATTAAAGTAGGTTATGAGAAACATTGGGGCAGATTAGAGCAAGTTAAAGTAAACATTAGGGCATATTAGAGCAGGGTATGTGAAACATTGGGGAAACATTAGGGCAGATTAAAGCAGTTTATCACTCTGGTTCGAGAGGTACAATGGGTTTGTGTATGTCGATAAAATGAGCATTGTGTTGTGTGTAGAAAGTTTGTGTGAGAAGCTGCTACAGCGGTTAAGGCCCCTTACGGATGCAACAAATATGTATAAACGTACCATCGGATTATTTAAAATACGTATTTTACCCGAAACAAAATTAAGGATTTTGAATGAAATAATAATTAATATGTTCACACATTTGAGACAGCTTAAGATAAGAGTGAGCAGCACGTTGCTATCTTTACATTACCATCTTTACATTGCTATGTTTTCATTTGTATCTTTACATTTCTATCTTTACATTTCTATCTTTACATTACCATCTTTACATTACCATCTTTACATTTCTATCTTTACATTACCATCTTTACATTACCATCTTTACATTGCGATCTTTATATTACCATCTATACATTACCATTTTTACATTAAGATCTTTATATTACCATCTTTACATTACCATCTTTACATTACCATCTTTACATTGCTATCTTTACATTGTCATCTTTACATTACCATCTTTACATTGCTATCTTTACATTGCCATCTTTACATTGCAGTCTTTACATTACCATCTTTACATTGCAGTCTTTACATTGCCACTTTATTGCCTTGAGTTATTTATTAGGTTTGCGTACCCGTGTACATGATGATCAACCTAGGGGTCATCCATTAATTAGGTAACTTTTTTTCTCTACGATTTTTACCTCCCACCTTTTTCCACCGTCACACAATGCTACAAAAAGCTAGACCCCCCCCCCCCCCCCCCCACTCAAAAAAAAATTAATGAAACCTACAACCCTCAAAATTGCAGTTTTTTTTTGTAACATCGATTTCTTTCTAAAATGTTTACTGAATTTGGTCAACATAAAGTAGGTTAAGGAATTTCTAAAACAATTTGTTTAAAAAAAACTGATTCCTAAAACGCGAAAAAGCGGTTAAAATTAAGCTTTAAAAAAAAATAACTTTTTTTAAAATCCAAGAATGTGACGTCACACTTTACGACCCCCCCCCCCCCCCACTACAAGTGTGGCGTTATTTGGATGTTCCCCTTATCTTGTGTGATTTGGTCAATAAATAAAAAATAACACCGAATCTTTTCTAAATCAGAATTATACTGTGGTCAAATTTGACGGACCAGTAAAATAAAACATAAAAAGGCATTTAAGTCATTTTTAAAACAAAATTGTGATTTAAAACAAGATTTGAAATACCCAGGTTTTTAAAAAAATTAAGTTGAAATCATAAAAGGATAAATTGGCATAAGTTGATTTGCATAGTTGCAAAATAAATCATTATCAGCTTTAAGGCCACAGTACGTTAGTGGGGTAATAACGTATTATCCAGCAGAAAGAATGAGTATAAAGTGTACATGCAAGTACATGTACATGTACGACAGTTCTGTGGCGTGGTCAAACGTGTGTACAACAGTCGAGAGGTTTTATTGAATAGGCCAACACGTGTAGTGTCAAATCACGTGATTTTACTTGAGCAATCAGACGAGAGGGATGTGACGTCAGACGAGGGGTGTGACGTCAGACGAGGTGGTGTGACGTCAGGCGAGGGGTGTGTGTGACGTCATACGTGTGCTGTCTTCGACCTGAGATTCCTACACTTGGGGAGGTAGATGAGCACCATGATGAGCCCGGCCAGCACGCCAACCGCTCCCGTGACGTAATAGGAGTAGTCGTAGTTGCCGTACACCTCACGCAGCTTGCCTGAAACACAGGCAGAAAGTTTTTTTTATTAATTTTTAAATGTGCCAAAATATTTCAAATTTTGATAAAAATGTGTCTAGATAAATCAAAAAGTGGTATTAAATTTCTCTTAAACTCGATCTATTGATTGACGCATACTTGCGTCTGTAAAAAAAAAGTTTGAATAAACATTTTAATACAAACTAAAGAATGTTAGTTTTTCGATCCCCATATTTATGATGCTTAAAACAATTATAAGTATGCCTAATTAATTTACAACATTATTTTCTTTAATTTAACCATTATTCCATGTTTACTTTATAAATCTGAAGACGTAGGCCTATTCATTATTTAGCTAATGTTGTATTTAGCTACTGACAGATTAAAATTGTTTAATTAATTTTAATAATTGTTAACTTTAAAAAAATAATTACTTCTGTCCCATTCTATTTGTTACTGACAATTACAATTCATTCCATAAAATGTATTGTGTAGAACACCTGTAGTCTAATAAATAACATAGCAACTTCATTCAAATATAGACATTTAAGGTCTTTTATGATTCACCTTATTAACAATTAAAAAGGTTGAGTAACTTTATATATATATATATTATATATATATATATATATATATATATATATATATATATATATATATATATATATATATATATATATATATATATATATATATATATATATACATATATATAATGTGTAAGATGCATTTATCAGCACGTGTAACATGCAAAAAAAAAACATACCCCCAAAGACAGGACCAACGAAGCATCCAATCCCCGAGGCAAGCAGCACGTAGCCCAGGCCAATCTCCATGTCGTCCACACCGACAAAGTCCACGGTGACGATCATGTACAGACCCAGGATGCCGCCGTACGCAAGACCCTGAAAGGTCAACAGAACGGCGAACTCTAAATAGGACGAGAAGAACGGGACTATGACGAGGGAGATCCCGTTGAAAATGTTTGAGAGGACGTACAAGAGGAGCTGCTTGCCCACGAAGTTTCCCAGGATGCTGATGGCGACACAGCCCACAAGCTGACCTATCCCGTAGAAGGTCATGACGAAGGCCGCGTCCTTCGCGGAGTGACCTTTGGTGACGATGACTTCCGGTACGAAGGTCACGTGGAAGGAGATGGCCACGCTCCAGATGATGCTGGACAGGAAGTAGATGAAGAACTTGAAGTCGAGTAAAATAACGATGTGGTGCTTGATGTTCTCTTTCATGTTCTTCTTGTGATTGGTCGCCGTTTGGGGATTCCCGTTCGGCTTACATAACATCCGGGTCTCGCTTGACGGAGACAGGTTGTCCGACTCACTCGGGGTCATGGCCGTCTCGTGCAACGACGGCAGCGACGAGCTCAAGATGTCCGTCTCCAAGATACGTTCTGGAATGTTCTCGTAGAGTGCTCGCTGTATCGCCCTGTTCTGATCGGAAGTCCAGGAAAGATAACTCGGTTGAAATATGTATGAAATATCATCAAAGGGTACAAAACTCGAGGTCTTTAACCTTCTTGAAAAGGAACCTGAATCTCGTGTCTGACGCGGGCGAGGTCCATCTTGGCGATAACGTAACTGCACAGTTGAATCATCCGCTTCCGGGTTCACGCAATTGCATGCTGGATTTTTTTCGCTGGCGTCTACACAGTGGTTGCTCTCATCCACCTCGGCGTAGGTATGCACCGGGCGTTTAAAATGGCTGGACGGGCGATAGTTCCGGTCAGTGAACTCGTGGATGTCGCAGAGGATGGAGTTCCTGGCTAGTCGTCGGGTGAAGCGGTCAGTGCCGGAGTTGTCGCTAGAGAGGGAGAGGCGGGGGTCGTGGGTGAAGGAGAGGGCCCGCTCCCTGGGTAGGATGTCCACGTTGCTGGGGGGTGGGGTCATGAAGATGGCGAAGAGAAACAGGTGGGCGTCGATGCCAGCTAGGATGATCATTGAGCCTGGTTGGAGAGGAGGAATTATTTCAATGTGGAATTTAAAGCTTAAACATAAAATTCGTAAAAAAATATATCTTTCAGAACAATCGACACGGGAGTAGGAGTAGAGTTTAACTGTATATTTGGTTTGTGGAATCAACGATCTTTCTAAAACCGTTCCCATTATCGTATACTTAGCATGGGTGGGTAGATTCAGTGAGGTCCTACTGACACAACATTTGGGTAAGCTGTCGAGGGATCAAACACCCGACCACAACGCACTTCAAACAAAGTAAACTGTAGATTTTACACTTAAGGCTACATCAATGTAGTTGTGTGTACCTTAACAGCAGTTACCTTTACTGCCACAAATATACCGTAAACACTTCTCTATGCCAGCATGACATGGTGTCTATGAATAGCTATCATATCCATAACTAGATTAATTAATCTGGCCATAACTAGACCACATAACCAGTCTTAAAAGCTACCCCCCCCCCTTTTCGGACCTAACGATTATTAAGGGTTTATCTGTTTACCTGACCTTGGCATGAATCTGGATGGTGTAGTCAGAGCTATGACCTTTCCCTAACGTATGTCAGGTACCCATCAGAGCTGGGTGGACTCAGGTACGTCCAGCAAACAAGACCAGGGATCCGAGACGTTAGATGTCGTATGCTCTACCGTCCAACCACGCTTCCCCACACGGCCCATCTAATCACCCTCACCCACCTGTCCAAGACATTACTCACCTTTCCACGAATACTCTTTAAATAACAACACCTTTTCATGATTACTCCTAAAACACCACCTCACCTTTCCACAAGTACCCCTCAAACACCACCTCACCTTTCCACAAGTACTCCTCAAACACCACCTCACCTTTCCACGAGTACCTCAAACACCACCTCACCTTTCCACGAGTACTCCTCAAACACCACCTCACCTTTCCACGAGTACTCAAACACCACCTCACCTTTCCACGAGTACTCCTCAAACACCACCTCACCTTTCCACGAGTACTCAAACACCACCTCACCTTTCCACAAGTACTCCTCAAACACCACCTCACCTTTCCACGAGTACTCAAACACCACCTCACCTTTCCACGAGTACCTCAAACACCACCTCACCTTTCCACAAGTACTCCTCAAACACCACCTCACCTTTCTACAAGTACTCCCCAAACACCACCTCACCTTTCCACGAGTACTCAAACACCACCTCACCTTTCCACGAGTACTCAAACACCACCTCACCTTTCCACGAGTACTCAAACACCACCTCACCTTTCCACAAGTACTCCTCAAACACCACCTCACCTTTCCACGAGTACTCAAACACCACCTCACCTTTCCACGAGTACTCAAACACCACCTCACCTTTCCACAAGTACTCCTCAAACACCACCTCACCTTTCCACAAGTACTCCTCAAACACCACCTCACCTTTCCACAAGTACTCCTCAAACACCACCTCACCTTTCCACGAGTACTCCTCAAACACCACCTCACCTTTCTACGAGTACTCCCCAAACACCACCTCACCTTTCCACGAGTACTCCTGAAACACCACCTCACCTTACCACGAGTACTCAAACACCACCTCACCTTTCCACGAGTACTCCTCAAACACCACCTCACCTTACCACGAGTACTCAAACACCACCTCACCTTTCTACGACTACTCCCCAAACACCACCTCACCTTTCCACGAGTACTCCTCTATCAGCGCCCCCACCACCAGGGGCATGACGACGGCACCCATGCCCGTCCCTGCAGTTGCTACCCCAGTCGCCAGGGACCTGTACTTGTCGTAGTACATCCCGCTCAGCACATGGGAGGGGAGGTAAATCAAGCAGCCACCTAGTCCTGTGGGGGGAAATCAAATCTAGCGTCAGAAATAAGTTAATGTTACGTGGGGGGGGGGGGGCAGTATTTATGTCAGAAATAACTGAGTTGTTTTGTAGGCGAGTGGGTGCAGGGATAAATATGGTTACAACAGGTAGTGGGGAGGGGGGGGGGTCTAGGGAGAAGGGAATGGGGTTGGATAATATAAAATCCATATACCTTTAAGCGTACAAGGGGGTGGGGGGGGGGGCAAATCGACTTCAGAAATAAGTAAATGTGTAACAGGTTGTGTATAAAAAAAAATCAATGCGCGGAAATAAAGGAGATAAGATTTGAACTGAAAAACAATAAAGTTATTTATAGTAGCATAGGGGTCTGGTATGTGACACATATAACTGGACATTTGTATTTACCTAGGTCAATTTGTAACGGTTAACAACATTCATTGATCATTAGTCGCACAATCTATCGAGGATATTCTAACAACATAAAAAATGTATGTGTGTGTGTTTGTGAGTTTGTGTTTGTGTAGATTTTAAATGGCGCCCTTTAAGGGAAGAGGCGACAGTGTGGCCACCACACCAACCCCACCCCCTCTTGTGTATACTGCCTATTACTACCCTTCCCCCCCCCCCCCCCCCCCGCCCCCCACCCATCCCGCCTTGAGTTCTATACTGAAGCGTGTAGCAATTTTCGACTTACAAATCCCGTTGAAACGCTAAGCCTCCACTGAGCTAGTTTATTCCTAAATAAACCGATTTGATGAGGTTGTTTGAGATTCAATAAAAAGATTGATAGTCGGATGTTGGAGGTAACAAACCGGGCTGTTTGGTTTAGGCGCGCAGCAAAACGAGCTGATTACCGTAAAGTTAAAAATTGTTTATTGGGGGAAGAACGGTATAAAGATGGGCGTGATAGACGGGAGAAAACATGTTTATGTTGTAAAGTTGGGTTATAAAGGGTTAACAGTGGGTTTAAGGTGGGTTATAGGGGGTTAACAGTGGGTTTAAGGTGGGTTATAGAGGGTTAACAGTGGGTTTGAGGTGGGTTATAGAGGGTTAACAGTGGGTTTAAGGTGGGTTATAGAGGGTTAACAGTGGGTTTGAGGTGGGTTATAGAGGGTTAACAGTGGGTTTGAGGTGGGTTATAGAGGGTTAACAGTGGGTTTGAGGTGGGTTATAGAGGGTTAACAGTGGGTTTGAGGTGGGTTATAGAGGGTTAACAGTGGGTTTGAGGTGGGTTATAGAGGGTTAACAGTGGGTTTGAGGTGGGTTATAGAGGGTGATCAGTGAGTTTAAGGTGGGTTATAAGGGGTTAACAGTGGGTTTAAGGTGGGTTATAAGCGGGTTAACAGTGTGTTTAAGGTCGGTTATAAGCGGGTTAACAGTGGGTTTAAGGTGGGTTATAGGGCGTTAACAGTGGGTTTAAGGTGGGTTATATAGGAGGGTTAAAGTTGAGTTGTTTGGCAAAAATGTTTTGTATGAGAATATATTTGTAAGCTGGGAATGAAACATTTTGGGCACGGGTTTTATATAAATAATTTTGCATTGTATTATTGTATAGTCATCAGAATTACTTTAGAAATCAAATTTCCACAGGCACGTATTTAACCGTACACGATTTCCGTATCACTATTTTTGTCAGTTTTCTTTTTTACATGTTTTACCTACAAAAACACCAATACATGTTTTACCTACGAAAACACCTATTGATTTTTTTACCTGCAAAAACCCCAATGAAGATGTACATGGCCGGCAGGTAGACCAGGAAGGGTGCACATCCGATTCCAATGAAGACGAGGGCGGCACCGACCACTGACAACTTCCGGTATGAGAACTTGGTCATTAGCAGACTGACCAGTGGACCTGGAATAAAAGTTGTTTTATGTCTGTTGAGTTACAGGTAAAGTTTGAAACAAAAGTTGTTAAATGTCAGTTGACTGACTAGATGTGTTTAAAACTAAAGTTGTTTTATGTAAGTTGACTGACCATAGGACCTAGAGCAAAAGTTGTTAAATGTCAGTTGACTGACCATAGGTTTGAAACAATAAATAATAATATACTTTTTATGTTTCACTGGTGAAGGTTAAGGTTGGATGGCTTTGTATTAGTGGAAAGTGGGGGATATGCTTGTAACAATATTTATTGCTAAATCAAAAGTTAACGTTAACCAGTACAGCAAAACAAACATACACCTCCCATAACAGGCAAACACAAACCTACCACACCATTCAAAACAACCTAAAACCTACCACACCACACAAGACAACATGAAACCTACCACACCACACAAGACAACCTAAAACCTACCACACCACACAAGACAACATGAAACCTACCACACCACACAAGAAAACCTGAAACCTACCACACCTCACAAGACAAAACCTACCACACCACACAACACAACCTGAAACCTACCACACTACACAAGACAAACACAAACCTACCACACCACACAAGACAAAACCTACCACACTACACAAGACAAACACAAACCTACCACACCACACAAGACAAAACCTACCACACCACACAAGACAAAACCTACCACACCACACAACACAAACACAAACCTACCACACCACACAAGACAACCTGAAACCTACCACACCACACAAGACAACCTAAAACCTACCACACTACACAAGACAAACACAAACCTACCACACCACACAAGACAACCTAAAACCTACCACACCACACAAGACAACCTAAAACCTACCACACCACACAAGACAAAAACCTACCACACCACACAAGACTAAAACCTACCACACCACACAAGACAAACACGAACCTACCACACCACACAAGACAACCTAAAACCTACCACACCACAGAAGACAAAAACCTACCACATCACACAAGACAACCTGAAACCTACCACACTACACAAGACAAACACAAACCTACCACACCACACAAGACAAAAACCTACCACACCACACAAGACAAAAACCTACCACACCACACAAGACAACCTAAAACCTACCACACCACACAAGACAAACACGAACCTACAACAACACACAAGACAAATACAAACCTACCATACCACACAAGACAACCTGAAACCTACCACACCACACAAGACAACCTGAAACCTACCACACCACACAAGACAACCTGAAACCTACCACACCACACAAGTCAAACAAAAACCTACCACACCACACAAGACAAAAACCTACCACACAAGACAACCTGAAACCTACCACACCACACGAAACAACCTGAAACCTACCACAACACACGAAACAACCTGAAATCTACCACACTACACAAGACAACCTAAAACCTACCACACCACACAAGACAAACAAAAACCTACCACACCACACAAGACAACCTAAAACCTACCACACCACAGAAGACAACGTGAAACCTACCACACCATACAAGACAACTTAAAACCTACCACACCACACATGACAACTTAAAACCTACCACACCCGAAGCATATGGCGAAGTGGATGGAGCTGATCATGGACACGCCCACCTGATCACCTTTGAACTCCTGCAGCAGGTGGACGGTGTAGATGCCCAGACAGGCGTAGTTCCCAAAGGCCAGGACTTGCACCATGAAGGCTGAGAAGACCACGAACAGCCCCCTCAGCCCGCCCTCCATCCTGGCTGTCGTCTGGAGTCAAAGACACAATTCTGATCAGAACTGAAGTTTAATTCTCTACACTTTAAAAAGTAAGATTTCCTATTCGAAGCCGACGGTCCATGGGTAAGTGAAGTAGAGTTCATCTGTTTCTATGCCCAGCCGCATGTACTTTCCTTAACGTGAGTTAAGTATCTATCAGAGCTGGGTGGAATCGGGAACGTTCAACTGACTTGAACCCGAATTTGAACCGTTAGCACTCGCCGTCCCATTTTTTATATTTTTTTCTCCATCAAAATTCGTCACAAAAAGTTAAAATCTGAAATCTCACTGAATTCCCCCCCACCCCCCCCCCCCCCACTCACTTCTATAAACAAGTGCCCGCATCTGGCACCAAATATCTTCACAAATCGTTAGAATTTTCTAGAATCTCCCATCTCACAAAATTACCCCCCCCCTCCCTTATATAAACTAACAGCCGCCCCTGACACCCAACTCTACATCTCTGGCTACACGAAAAGCACTTACTTAAAGTCAAACCTACGCCTATCTCGCCACCACATCTACAAGTAGACTGGCAGGCTTACAATACAAATCACGACTAGCGCTTTTCCCGCAATAGCGGGACGAATCTCGCTCACAATCACATAAAACACACGTTGTTTATTTGACACTAAAAGTTCAATGTCTTATTTTTTAAAAACTAAATCCACAACAAACAACTACACGTTTTTAAACTCAACAAAAACAAGCATAAAAATAAAATTCTAAACTAATCCGTCTTGCATATCATCAACGATACTCCATTTAAAAACACGTACATCATATTTTTTTAATACCCCGGCTACGTCCTGAAACTGAACCGAGGCCTAGTCTAGTCTAACTCATATAGATACTAGGGTCGTAAATTCTACACCTCTGCCTAGATAAACATTGACTAAAATAGATCGCCTCAAACCGGCAATGTACACGCCGCGGCACCGTTGATAAAAAAAAAACGAAAATATTATAACACGCAGGAAATCAAATGTAATCTTTAAGGTGGCCGGAAAGAACCGCAACGGAAAAAAGCGCAACGGAAAAAAGCGCAAAACAAAAAGCGCAACGGAAATAAGCGCACACGGAAAAAAGCGCAAAGAGAAAAAAGCGCACACAGAAAAAAGCGCAAAGAGAAAAAAGCGCAAACGGAAAAAAGCGCAAAGAGAAAAAAGCGCACACAGAAAAAAGCGCAAAGAGAAAAAAGCGCAAACGGAAAAAAGCGCAAAGAGAAAAAAGCGCACACGGAAAAAAGCGCAAAGAGAAAAAAGCGCACACAGAAAAAAGCGCAAACAGAAAAAAGCGCAAACGGAAAAAAGCGCAAAGAGAAAAAAGCGCAAACGGAAAAAAGCGCAAACAGAAAAAAGCGCACACGGAAAAAAGCGCAAACGGAAAAAAGCGCAAACGGAAAAAAGCGCAAACAGAAAAAAGCGCAAACGGAAAAAAGCGCAAACAGAAAAAAGCGCACACAGAAAAAAGCGCAAACAGAAAAAAGCGCAAACGGAAAAAAGCGCAAACGGAAAAAAGCGCACACAGAAAAAAGCGCAAACGGAAAAAAGCGCAAACAGAAACAGAAAAATGCGCAACTTGAAAAAACACAACGAAAAATGTGCAAAAGACAAATTGAGCACAAAGACCATATGGACTAGATGACACATTTATACATGACTGTTAGGGCTGCTGTGAGAGTGTCGTGTTTGATCACGTGATCTACTACCATTTAAAGCGTACCACTACCATCTGCATTCCCATCACCACGATACAGGCGATAATCACTTTACACAATGCCTATTATTTTCTTGGTCAATAATTATTCAACTACTATTCTCGTATAAACATAAAACTATCGACATTACACGAAGTATCTTTCACATTCTCCCTAGTCCGAACTACCTAGCTTGCATACTATAACAACCCGTTCCTATGGCAAAACTTCACTCTCTTTCATCCGCGTCATCAAACATGCATTCGTCATATCTCTCGTAACAGCATTCACTCGCACCAAAATAACAATTTTGTATTTAATATTTTTTCACATCATGACGCACCTACCTACCTACCTACTACCCACCTACCCACCTACCTACCTACCTAACTACCCACCTACCCACTTACCACTTACCGAGCCTACATACTTACCAAACTACCCACCAAAAAAGTATCGGCGAAGTTCGTAAGTTTCGTAAACTGTACTAGACATCATTTTTTTAATGAAAATTCATTGACATCATTGACATTTGTTACATATATGTTACATTTTGCGACAACCTTAATTAGTGCGTTGGGCTTGTATGAAAACTCACTTCGAACTAACTCAATTACATGCTATTTATTTTAACATTTATAAACTTCATCTCTCTTTGTTTCTTTATAAAAAGGTTACGGAAGGTTTTTAAGGTATTTTACTGAAATGTTTACCGGACGAATGCAAAATGATATAAACAACCGTAGCTCTTCTGTTATATAGGCTACATGCAGTGTTTCTTCCAGACTTCCCCCCCCCCCCCTCAAACTGTCGATTGTACCCCCCCCCCCTCAAACTTTCGATTTGCATATATATATACATATATATATATATACATATATATATATATATATACATATATATATATATATATATATATATATATATATATATATATATATACCGAGGGGTCTATTGGGGGGGTTATGACCCCCCATAACCCCCCCCCCCCCCCGCCTACGCCACTGCATATAAGTATTTGCATAGATTTAGAGTAGCGTCCCTTTTGTTTACATGTTTTCATTACCCTTCAAACAAAAGTCTATTTTAGTTATATTGAGATTAAAGAATGTAAATAAATAGTATACACAATTCTGTAGAATAGGAACGATTGGGAGGGAAGTGACATTTAGCGCAGTAAATTTAGAGGTTAGGTAGGGTATAATAAATGGTGGGGTTAGGAAAGTTAAGGGGTCCATTCTATGTCTCTTTCGTACTTTCGTGTTGGTTTATTGTCGAACCTGTCCTCACCTTACATCACAACAGTTGGGTGACGCTTACCGTGTAATGTTAAAATAAATAGCATGTAATTGAGTTAGTTCGAAGTGAGTTTTCATACAAGCCCAACGCACTAATTAAGGTTGTCGCAAAATGTAACATATATGTAACAAATGTCAATGATGTCAATGAATTTTCATTAAAATAAACCGGGAGTGATCTCCCCTAAACTTTCTCGAATATTCTTATATAAAATAACAGGGGATGGAAACTCGGGCTATAGACATGATTTTTAATCCATTTTAAATACTTAAAGTTTTAAAAATAGAATAAAATCTCGTAGACAAATTAATTGCACACCAAGTGAACGCAAATAAAAAAAGCGCATAATAGTGCGCAATATTATTAGTACTTTTAAAATTTACATTAGTTTTTTGAGAAATCGGAAGTAGCGTAAATTACTACTTCCAGTCAACGGAAATTACTCAAAATTTAACAGAAGGTAGAGAATTAGATCTTTTACTTACATGTGAAATTTCATTTATCTATCTGAAATAGTACTCAAGTTATAGGCTTTTAAAAAATTCAAAGTAGGAAAAGTACCACTTCCGGTTATCGGAAATCGCTCAAAAGTTGATACGGATCTACGATTTTGATAAAATACTTATATATGAAATTTCATCAACCTAGCTGTAACGGTACTCAAGTTATCGTGTTTACACACGGACAGACACACACACGGACAGACACACACACACACAGACATACGGACAAGATTGCAAAATTATGTTTTTCCGTATCAGTGAGGTGTAAAACGTCGAGATTTGTAAAAATCTCGATTTTTTTTTTTGCACGATTACAATACTTTCTCTATACTACGTATATACGAGAAAGTAAAAATGATGTCTAGTACAGTTTACGAAACTTACGAACTTCGCCGATACTTTTTTGGTGGGTAGTTTGGTAAGTATGTAGGCGGGTAAGTGGTAAGTGGGTAGGTGGGTAGTTAGGTAGGTAGGTAGGTGGGTAGGTGGGTAGTAGGTAGGTAGGTAGGTGCGTCATGATGTGAAAAAATATTAAATACAAAATTGTTATTTTGGTGCGAATGAATGGTGTTACTAGAGATATGACGAATGCATGTTTGATGACGCGGATGAAAGAGAGTGAAGTTTTGCCATAGGAACGGGTTGTTATAGTATGCAAGCTAGGTAGTTCGGACTAGGGAGAATGTGAAAGATACTTCGTGTAATGTCGATAGTTTTATGTTTATACGAGAATAGTAGTTGAATAATTATTGACCAAGAAAATAATAGGCATTGTGTAAAGTGATTATCGCCTGTATCGTGGTGATGGGAATGCAGATGGTAGTGGTACGCTTTAAATGGTAGTAGATCACGTGATCAAACACGACACTCTCACAGCAGCCCTAACAGTCATGTATAAATGTGTCATCTAGTCCATATGGCCTTTGTGCTCAATTTGTCTTTTGCACATTTTTCGTTGTGTTTTTTCAAGTTGCGCATTTTTCTGTTTCTGTTTGCGCTTTTTTCCGTTTGCGCTTTTTTCTGTGTGCGCTTTTTTCCGTTTGCGCTTTTTTCCGTTTGCGCTTTTTTCTGTTTGCGCTTTTTTCTGTGTGCGCTTTTTTCTGTTTGCGCTTTTTTCCGTTTGCGCTTTTTTCTGTTTGCGCTTTTTTCCGTTTGCGCTTTTTTCCGTTTGCGCTTTTTTCCGTGTGCGCTTTTTTCTGTTTGCGCTTTTTTCCGTTTGCGCTTTTTTCTCTTTGCGCTTTTTTCCGTTTGCGCTTTTTTCTGTTTGCGCTTTTTTCTGTGTGCGCTTTTTTCTCTTTGCGCTTTTTTCTGTTTGCGCTTTTTTCTCTTTGCGCTTTTTTCCGTGTGCGCTTTTTTCTCTTTGCGCTTTTTTCCGTTTGCGCTTTTTTCTCTTTGCGCTTTTTTCCGTTTGCGCTTTTTTCTCTTTGCGCTTTTTTCCGTTTGCGCTTTTTTCTCTTTGCGCTTTTTTCCGTGTGCGCTTATTTCCG